GGGTTTCACCGAAGTGGTAAACGTCTGAGACCTGCATCACTTCGGGCTTTCCTCCCACATTAAGCTGACACACAGTGATAAAACTGGAATACTGTTAAAAGTGGTGTTCAACCCAACTTTACCCCCAAACTGAATGTAGTTTGTTGTAGGCAGTAAAATTATCTGAGAGAGGATTATTGGATCCCTCCCTTTTAAAAATGATGAATCCACCCTAGATCGCTGTCCACGTCTCAGCAAAAGATGTTTAAAGATGGTCTTTGGCCCGGCTTTAAAGGGATAAAACAAGGTCTGGTCGGCTCAGTCAGTACACTTTGTCTAAGTGGGGTATCCATGTTAAACTGCAAGGACCGGAACTAAAAGACAGGCATTAGTCTTTACTAGTGCAGGTAGGTAAAAATAACACATAACACATGAAAGGAAAAAGGACAATCTTTATTGTAGTATTTTTTTAATTTTTATTAATCCATAAATAAGAAAGCTATGAGCAAGTGAAAACGGATCATTTTTGAGAATTTCTATGGATTCCACTTAGTTTGCCGGTCTGCTGCCAGTACCTAGTGCAAGCTGACACACACGTGCATGCACATCGCTCTGAGTACAATAATCATAATCATGACATTAAACCCCATGCACAAATAATGAAATATAGAGGTTAAAATTAGTTAAACTCTTTCTTTCTGAACATTTTTAATTGATGAGTTCAGGCAGAAGTTCATTTGTAGGAGAGCTAATTTAAAACTCTTGACACCTATTGAGTGTAAGCTGCAGGAGCAGATCCAACCTGCTGGAGATTATAATTCCTATGTGAATGCTACTGTGATTAATACATTTGGGCTGCTTGTGTAGCTGGGCTTGATTAAACAGCATTGGAGCGGTGTATTGACACAACTGCACAGGAAGAGGTGTGTCCATATTTCTCATAGATAAGGTCAGTCTAAAAGAGAAGTGATTAATCATATTCTCGATTCATATTTCCAACAAAAAATTGTTGCCACATTACCATAAGAAGATGAAGTACAAAATCAGAGTGCTTGGCGGGTTGTTAAAACAAATATAACACAATACTTATCATGCTTATGTACACAGATAGAAGTAAGCATTAGCTTGCTTGCCAGTGATAGTTGGTTGGTTTGTTGTTTTACGCCACACTCAGCAATATTCCAGCTATATGACGGCGGTCTGTAAATGATCGAGTCTGGACCAGTCAATCACTGGATTGACATCATGAGCATCGATCCACGCAATTGGGATACGATGACATACATCAACCAAGTCAGCGAGCCTGACCACCCGATCCCGTTAGTTGCCTCTTATGACAAGCATTGTCACCTTTTATGCGAAACATGGGAGACCTATTCTATCCCGGATCTTCATGGGTCAGGGATAGACACAGACAGTAGTCTGTTGGTCAGAGACTAGTAAAAATCTTCAGGGACTGGTTGATTTCTCTTATAATCTATCTATTTTACATGGACTGCTCATCCAAATTGAGCTGCAGACTTGTTGGGTTTGAGTGAGTAGGTTTACCAAGTTGCACTAAATTGCCAGTCGGCAACTTTAGCCACTTGTATGAAGCCCAAGTCCAGTAAAATTCTGTTTGGTCCAGTAGGTTAAGCTCGTTTTGAGGAACTAAGTTTTGTGTCAAAGAGCTAGTCGTTGTATGGCTGTCAACTGACACATGTACCAAATCAAACTGTGTGTATATTCATCTGTTGAGATTACTTTAATAAGAATTGAGTTTCACTTTGAGCAAGTCCATTTGCACATGTAGAGTTCACCCCAGTGAACTCATGCTGCATTAAAGTCGATTCTTATATACCTGTTTGAGAAATATGTTATGATAAAAAAAATATTCAAAATAATATTTTCAGTCATTTAATCAACATGATCAAAGCATGTTATTATTGTAAAGGTGTTTTTTTTGCATGTATATTTTTACATTTTGAAGAATATTTTGCATACTCACCATTCTCATCCCAAAAATAAAAAATAATTTGTGCCCATAGAATATGGGAATTTGGGATATAAACATCTTTTACAAAGAAACAAGATGACAAGGACTGGGATTTGTCTTGACCTCCTCAGAAACCGATATTCAGCTGATGTTAGTATTAGTTCCTCAGTATGAGTTAAAAATATCCTAATTCATGCTATTATAGTCAGAACTAATGTTGTTTTGTAGAGGTGACTTGTAAAGTTGCTTTAATCTTTAATGCTCAGTTTCACATTATTGCCTTGAATACAGTGTTAAAATACACTGTTGAAAATACCTTTAAATTAGGGTAAATAATAACTTTGAAAAACATCCCAAATTTGAATCAAAATAACTTTTTTCCCAATTTGCTGGCCACGGGCCCTTATTTTGGAATCCCAGATAAATAAATCCCTGATAGTATTCTTTATATTCTGACCTGTTTTAACTTGAAATGTTACATGTAGCCAAACCAGTGTTTGAAATAATTTTAGATCCCAACAAGACAGTCGGACAGGTGACCCATAAGTGTTGCCTGACATTCTTCAAAGTTTCCTGCCCCCATTCAGGCATTGTAAATATTGAAAAATCGCAAAAACTGAGCTATAAATCACGTCTTGATTCAGTTGAAATAATGCAAACAATCATTTGAGAATCTAGAAGAAGTGTATTTTTAAAATTGATACACAAGTAGTCTTAGAATTATCTGCCAGACAGTCGGGCAGGTGGAGGAAAACACCATGCAGCCCAACAGCAAAGTTACTAGCCACGGGCAGGCAGGCAGGCAGTTATTTCAACCAAACTTCATAAAGTCTAAATGAGGTAAATCGCCATCATTGCCTGTCTTCACATGCTTAAAGTGATGTTGGTAGCTGCATATCTGCAGTGACAGATGTTAACAGGCCATTCAGTGCACATCATTGATTTGTCACATCTGCCCACATATACCTATACACACATATCCGTGACCTCAATTGCCTTGATTTTATGAATACTACTGCGTAGAAGAGTAGGAAAACATTATTTGAGAAATATCTCTCCATGAGTCCTTGCAATGATGCCAATGTTTCCAAACAAGAAGGATCCTTTGATTAAAATACCAAGGTGTTTGTAACACTGCAAACAGTCTTTTTTTAGTTCAAATTATTTGACGCATTACTGAAAAATGTAATGGGTTGAAATTAACCTTGGAAGTCCTTGTCAGAATCTTCATGTGAAGAGTATAAGATTTGTTATGTCCTTAGATTCTAAAGGAGCTCAACTCGAGGACCACGGGGCCCCCACAATGTCAGATCGGTTCTTTTTCTAGGACACTGACTGATCATGCTCATTGTCATACAAAATGCCATGAAGATCGTTACTTTAAATTTGGTTTGTTTGTTTATCGTTTCACACCAAACTCGGCAATTTTCCAGCTATATGATGGCGGTCTTGCACCATGTTGCCATTAAAACCTAGTTGCACCAGAGAAAACCAGGTTGCCCCAGAGAAAACCAGGTTGTACCAGAGAAAACCTAGTTGCACCAGAGAAAAGCATAAATTTATCAGTGTTGAAACGTGCAAATAATCTTAACACTACCCACAGTTAAATGACATCAACGATACATCTGTGCTTCGTGAGTTTTCATGTGCCGATATGATACATGATACATTTTTGTCTGTATTGGTTCAAGACCAAACACTAGCTAAAATGTGCTACTGCTCATTGAATGACCTCCCAGCGTGTTTGTCATTCAGATATCGCAAAATGTGATGTAATTAAGTTCTTTCCAATAAATAGCCACAACAAACATGCTCCAACAGCCAGCTTTTCCTTTTGAACCTGCCCTTAAATATTTTAGTCATGATGTTTCCTCACCTTGCTCACGGTTTGGCATAAATATGCATATCGTGATACATATCATATCTTGATCTTTGTATCGTGATACATATCGTATTGTGACCTTTCCATCATGATACATATCGTACCGTGACCTTTGTATCGTGATACATATCGTACCGTGATCTTTGTATCGTGAGGGGGCATGGGTGGCCCAGTCGTCTAAGGCGCCCTAGGGCACGCCAGAATCCAATGGTTGGTTCAAATCCCGGTTCACCCCAATTGTGTTTCTAGGTTTGTCAGCACCATACCCGTGCTCGTGGGTTTCACCGAGGTAGTTAACGTCTCAGACCTGCATCACTTGGGGCTTTCCTCCCACATTAATCTGACACGCCGTGATATAACTGGAATAATGTTAAAAGCGGCGTTAAACCCAACTCACTCACTTTGTATCGCGATACATATTGTATCGTGACCTTTGTATTGTGACACATATCATACCGTGATTTTTGTACAGTGATACATATCGTACCATGATCTTTGTATCGTGATACATATCGTACCATGACCTTTGTATCATGATACATATCATACCATGACCTTTGTATCGTGATACATATGGTATCGTGATACATATCCTACCGTGACTTTTGTATCGTGATACATATCGTACCGTGACCTTTTTATCGTGATAATATCGTACCGTGACCTTTGTATCGTGATACATATCGTACCGTGACCTTTGTATCATGATACATATCCTACCTTTACCTTTGTATCGTGATACATATCGTATCATGATCTTGCTGTATCGTTTCACCCCTAAAAATGTGTGTCTACTTTGACTTGTCATCCGTCAACTTTTAAGCAATGCCCATCAAACAGTTCATTTGGTGCATGTAGACAAAAATATAAGGTAACACTTTTCAGTTGCAACTTGCATCGGTGCCAGATTCTGTAGCTGAATCAGGTTCATGTAAACAAATACAAATGTATGTCCGACTAACCCTTTACTGTTCTGTAAAATCCTGAAACAGTCATCAGAGATCTAAGATTTTATCTAAGTTCTCTGTTTATAAATCTATGTTTCGACTTTGATAAATTTATGGGATAAATGTGCAACCTGGTTTTGTCTGGTGCAGTTTGGTGCAAGTTTAGTCAAGTTTCTTAAATCGAGCCCTTATCAACGTGTTCCTTTTTCTGTTTCAGCGAAAGACAGCGCCAAGCCCAAAGTTACACCAATAGATGTAAGTATAGCAACACAACCTTATCGTTGATAGGGGCAGGCCTCAAAGTTTAAGTTTTAACCTAGTAGCCATGTGGCTGCCAGTATTTTTTTGTCCAGGTAGCCAGTGGTAAAATCAACAAGACAAGCCAAATTTTTAGGTAGCCAAAAACATTTGAAATTATCTTTTATCAAATAACTATTTTAATATGTACAAGTCATAGCACTAGGCTTTAAGAGTTTACGTTACTGAATCCCTCGTAATGCTGCATTGAGCGATGGGAATGTTAATGAAACAGACGATGAGAACGGTATATGCGTTCAATTGCGACCGTGAAAACACTGCTGATTGAGAAAATGGCGTCAATCAGATTATTTGTTTGTGTCTATGTATGTGAACAATGGAGTTTAGTCGCCACAAGATATTTTTCAAGGTAGTCATTTGGCTACCTCTGAAGTCGCAACTTCGAGGCCTCTAGGGGGGTATTTTGGTCCCAACCACTTGAAATAGAATCACGAAATACTGCAATGATTACTAAGCTGCATAGTTGCATGTGTGCTAAAACGTATTAAGTGAAGACAAGCCATTCTGCTGATAATGAATATTACTTACAGTAATGACAAAAATTGCTAACTGCATTTTTCAAGAAATGTCTGTTTTCTTAGCGATAATCATCATAATTGATTTTGATCACGTGGTTACAAAGCAGGTCGAAATCGACAGTCAGGTGACTGTGAGTGGTTATATTTTGCGGTGACCTGGGTCAATAGCACTTTATAGTCATGCACAGTAACCTGACCTGCTGACTGCAGATCCTCAGTCATATTGTAACCATGTGATCAAAAATCTACATTGTAGATATGGCTGCTTTGCAGACCAGTGTGATGTCATTGGTTACCATGACGTCACAATCAGATGACATCAGTAATGGCTCTGCCACTGAAGCTGATGGAAAAAGTTGGAAGAATGATGTTGGATGATAAATAGAATCTCACCCTTGTGTCTTTTGATATCAAATATATCAACACTCGTAAAAGTTTGAGACTCCAAGGCTTGCTTCGTGTAGATATATTTCATATCAAAAGACACTTAGGCAGAGCTCCAGATAAGCTTCTGGTGTTGTGGGTATTTTACCCATGCATTTTAAAATCATTGGGTATCAGTAATTCTATCTGCGTATTCAAATTTCTGTTACCCACTAGTTTTTACACATGTGGGTATTTAAGTTAAATATTTAGAAACACTATTCATCTAGTCCCTGCAAACTGGTGTCGTGTGGGTTCGAGAGCTTTATAGGACTCAAAAATACCACGATACTTCCACAAGAAAGTGTGATGGCAAATGATAATGATGTAACTGTCATCGTGGAGTTTGGCAAGGTTGACGGAATGCCCGTTTATTATTTCAAAATAAGTTGCTGATTTGCTAATCGAATACTCAGGTTACTTCGCAATATTTTGATGATACGCACAAGTTTTATTTTTGTAGCGTATCTGTAATGTTCGTTGCGTATTTGATAGGCTTTGATTATATTTTACTGTGTATTTCTGCATTTCTGATGCGTATTTCACGCAGATACGCAGCTTATCTGGAGCTCTGCACTTAGGTGAGATTCTGCATATATCATGATACTTTTGAGTCGATATATCAATGCTTTCATTTCCAATCAATGACACCTCAAACTATTGCAGGTAATGTTTTCAGGCAAGTGAACATCAATGTTAGTTTCTAACCCTGGATGATGGTATGTCATGGTTTGTTGATAGACAAATGCAGTGGGCACAGGGATGGGTCCGCGGACACCGATGTCCGTGTCTGTCCGTGAGAAAGAAAAGAAGATCGGACACAGAAGAGTGGACGAGGATGGCATCGTCACATATAAGAAGGTAAGTGTTCAGATACTGCAACACACCTGTCAAAATTACAACTGGCTTGAGGGGCTAGTTATCTTTCACAAACACTATTCCACAGCAAAGATAACTGGTCCTCATTTCAGGAGTACAAACTGAAAATTGAATTTCTTAATACTGTTTTTAGTGCAGTAGGATATCTACAAAACCAATTATTTTTCTATGTACTACTACACTGTTCTGATTAGGGCATATTTAGACAAGGCCTAAACTGTTTTTACCTAGCCAATAGAGAAAATAGCATTTAGCGAGATTCGTTAGGCTCATTCTTCCAATCAAATTGTTCAAGCTTTAAAGTTTTGAAAAGTTGCGGTAGACATGGGGGATAGAGGGTTTCGAAAGATTACTGGCCCCCTAGAAAACCACTGGTCACAGGATAGAGGGCAGGCATCCATTGTGAATGCTGAATCACATGCATAGATTAAGATATATGCCAAAGTTTTGGACTTTTACTTTCATCCAATTACAAAGAGCAGAAAATATGTTGTATATTTTCGAGTTATGGGAGTAGTTTGTTGTATTGATAGGTTTAAGAGATAAATATGCTTTCTTTTTGAGGTAGAGCTAGTTTACCTGTAGATGTAACCACACTAAATTGAATTTGGAGCTTAACATGCATCAGATGTCTAGTAAAGAAGATTTCATTTACATGATATATTAGGGGGAACGGGTGGCCCAGTCATCTAAGGCGCCGCATTTTCCCTGTACAGAATTGCATCCCTTGGGCACGCCAGAAACCTATGATTGTGGGTTCGAATCCTGGTTCGCCCGGATTATGTTTCTAGGTTTGTCAGCACCATACCCATCCTCGTGGGTTTCACCGAAGTGGTAAACGTTCAGACCTGCATCACTTCGGGCTTTCCTCCCACATTAAGTTGACACGCCGTGATATAACTGGAATACTGTTAAAAGCTGCGTTAGACAACTCACTCACTAATCTGAAAGAGTGAAGGAAATGACGTTTTAGAGGTAAGGAGTTATAAAAGTTTCAGGGCCCACTCAATCATGGCCTCCAACATTTAGTTTTGGGCCAGTTAGTTGGGAAAAAGACCAGTAACTTTTGAAAGGAGCAAGACCAGCTGGCTACATATGAATTTGTTTTTAAGTCTACCCCTGTACCAGAGACCATGATTTTGGGCCCTCAATTTCAGATTTGCCCCGATCATGTTTCTGTTTGTCAGCACCTATAGTTGTGGGTTTTACCAAGTGGTAAGCTGTCTAATGCCTGTATCTTTTGGGGTTTTCCTCCCACGTCAAGCTGACATGCTGTTATAAAATCTGAAATACTGTTAAAAGTGGCAATAAGGGGGTTGTCACTGTGACTCATACTCCCATCTCATTTCTTGTTCTAGAAACCGACATCTGAGTTGATGACAGCCATCCAACTTGGAATTGGACAAAGTGTTGGAGCATTAAGTTCGAAAGCAGAACGTGATGTCCTCATGCAAGATTTCGCTGTTGTTGAGAGTGTCTTTTACCCAAGGTTTGTACACAGGATCTCATTACTCATATTGGGCAGATGAGTGGCCTAGTGGTTAAAGCGTTCGCTTGTTGGTCGATTCCCGACATGGGTACAGTGTGTGAAGCCCATTTCTGGTGTCCCCTGCCGTGATGTTTTGGAATATTGCTAAAAGCGTCATAAAAACTCACTCTCACTCACTCACTCACTCACTCACTCACTCACTCACTCACTCACTCACTCACTCACTCACTCACTCACTCACTCACTCACTCACTCACTCACTCATGTACTGCATGGACAGTTCATTATGTTATCTGACAGAGTTACCTGCACTGGTTCGACAAGTTGACATTTAGTCCTGTGTTTTCATGAACTAGTCAACCAAAATGTGTTTTTAGTCATCCTGGCCCTAGACATTTCCAGGTAAAATCACTGCTGCATTAGATGTAGTTATCTCCACCGAGTTACCTTCATCTTGACACCAACAAAGAGACCATGCTTGTCGTAACAGGCGACTAACGGGATCGAGTGGTCAGGCTCGCTGACTTGGTTGATACATGTCATCGTATCCCAATTGCGTGGATCGATGCTCATGATATCAATCACTGGATTGTCTGGTCCAGACTCGATTATTTACAGACCCATCATAAGCTGGAATATTGCTCAGTGCGGTGTTAAACAACAGACAAACAAACAAAACTTGTGTCTGTGACTTATCCACAAGCCTAAAGTCAGAGTCAAGTAAAAAACATTCCTGCTTAGCTCAGCTAATAAAAGTCCATATTATCATGATTATAACACTATATATCAACCCAAAATGATGATGAGAGCAGAGTTCAGTCTAGTAGACTCAAAGGGCGGTCGGGTAGCCCAGTGGTCAAAGCGTTTGCTCGTCACGCCGAAGACCCGGGTTCGATTCCCGACATGGGTACAATGTGTGAACCCATTTCTGGTGTCCCCCGCCGTGATATTGCTGAAATATTGCTAAAAGCGGCGTAAAACCATACTCACTCACTCACTAGTAGACTCAAAACAATTTCACAGTGACTGTGGACTTGCACCCTGATACAGTTTATTGAAATAATCAAGCTAGTTGTCCTTGTGCCCTACATTTGTGTGTTTGTGTTTTCAGTGAGGGAAGCAACTTAACTCCAGCCCACCACTGTAGTGACTTCAGGTTCAAGACGTATGCACCTATCGCCTTCCGATACTTTCGAGAGCTGTTTAATATTCAGCCCGATGACTTTATGGTGAGTGACGAATGTATTTGTATTATAGGACTGTAACTATAAAAATGGTTCATGGTTTGCTGGGGCGGTCAGGTAGCCTATTCTAGATTCTAGGTTTTTGTTACAAGATGTTGATGTATCCAATAAGCATCTTTGCTGTTGCTGAATCGGACATCTTCACCACGTGAATGGGCAGTGTTGCCTTCAATTATACGATTATTTGACAAGGGTCCTTAAACAAAGACGCCATCACACCTCCGGGGGGCGGTCGGGTAGCCTAGTTGTTAAAGCGTTTGCTCGTCACGCCGAAGACCCGGGTTCGATTCCCGACATGGGTACAATGTGTGAAGCCCATTTCTGGTGTCCCCCGCCGTGATATTGCTGGAATATTGCTAAAAGCGGCATAAAACCATACTCACTCACTCACTCATGATTTGCTGATGGTAAATATGCTATATAGTGGAGATTTGTTGGGATGGGGAAGGGTTGGGGATGAGCTTTGATGCTTTTGGAAATAGAATCAACAGATTCTCATGATTTCTCCGTTACGGAATCCACTAGTTATTACAATATTATCCAGAAGGGTCATGAGCTTTCGTGGTCATTAACTTAACACCTCCGTGGTCTAATGACAGAGTGTATGCCCGGAGAGCGGAAGGTCCGAGGTTCGATCCCCGGCCACGTCATACCAAAAGACGTTAAAAGATGGAACTTGTTGTTACCCTTCCTGACGCTCGGCATTAAGGAGCTAAAACAAGGATTGGTCGGCGCGGAGTCAGTATACTGTGTCTGATAAGGGTATTCATGTTAAACTAGGGCATGGTATCTCATTGGGCTAGCTCTATAAAATCAGCATTAGTCCACACTAATACAAAAAGCCAAACACGCACGCATGTTGCTGTATAAGTGCAGCAACCTTGAACACGACGTTAAACCTCACCTAACCTTAAACATTAACTGTATCAAAGCATCCCCTATGTTTTGTACTTGACGATTGTGTGAAGATTTGATAAAAAGTATTCGACGTAATAAGTGCCCGGGGCGCTCTCAAAATTATAAATAGGGGGCACTTATTAGAATATAATTTTGGTGAGTTGAAAGATCTTAAATATTGTACTTTATGATGACAGCCTGAAATGATACAAAAGAAAAGTATGTGCGTATCATACACGACAGATATATTTTCCAGAAATTAATTGCTCATAATTAAGGGTGCATATGACACACGAGTGCGTATTATACGCGAATAAATAAGTCTTGTGAACATTGATTGATCAATTCGGGGTGCTAATTGGGATTGTTCACTAGCCAATGTATTAGCAAATATCGCCGTGGGGGTTTATTAGAGCAGGGCGCTTATAACATCGAATATGGTACTTGACGTCACTCTGTCAGTTATGCCTGTGAATTGGTTTCAGTTATCACTATGTGATGAAGTGCTGCAAGAGTTGTCAAACCCAGGAGCCAGCGGTAGTATCTTCTACATCACCCAGGACGATGAGTTTATCATCAAGACAGTCCAACACAAGGAGGCGGACTTCTTGACTAAACTGCTCCCTGGTTACTTCCTGGTAAGAGCAAGGAGGGGATGTAGTAGCCCAGTGGTCAGTGTGGTCAGTGGTCAAACACCCAGGTTCTGTACCACACCAGGGTCCAGTGTGTGACGACCCATGAAGATCCGGGGTAGAATTGGTCTTCAGCAATCCATGCTTGCCGTAAAAGGCGACTATTCTTGTCGTATGAGGCGACAATCGGGATCGGCTGTCAGGCTCGCTCACTGGTTGATGTATGTCCCAATTCCGTGGATTGATGGTCATGATTTCAATCATTGGATTGTCTGGTCCAGATACGATTATTTACAGACCGCCGCCATATAGCTGGAATATTTCTGAGTGCGGCGTTAAACAACAAACAAACAACAAGAGTGTGTGACCTGTTCTTGGTGCCTTGGCTGGAATATTACTTAAAACGGAATACAACAGAGCTCCAGATCAGCTGTGTATTTCCATGACTGGCATCACTGGCTGAAATGTCGTGATATGACTGAAATACTGTTCAATGCGGTGTCAAACCCGTTAAACCCGTCTTGGTGATATCCATATTTGGAAGCTGATACAGTGAGTGCCATGAGTTGAAGGTTGTTAGGTCTAAATGTCTGAGGATATGTTGTCATTCTGTAATAGGCTTCTGGCCATTATTTAGCAAAGTTAATGCACAATTGTTAAGTAAATTCATGAAATATTTTTTTCTTCAGAAGATAAACAACTTTTTCGTCTTGTGCATGACATGAGAAATAAGAGCTGCTGACATCCAGTGACACTGATTACATGCCACGTTGTTTTATCGACCAGTCTTGATCAATGTTTTGTTATGGATCCAGACATTAAGTTTGACACATTTTCTTCTTTTCCAGAACATAAGCCAAAACCCAAGGACTTTATTGCCCAAGTTTTATGGCTTATATTGTTACCAGGTATGTATGTGTAAGATATCGGTGTTGATTCAGGGATGGAAAGTGTCTAGTGCTGGCTATCGATATACAGTCAAGTCTCGTTTATCCGACACTCGTTAATCTGACACAAATGATGGGAACCGATTAAATCAGTGCTGTTTAGACCCGTTAATCTGACAGTCTCGCACTCCGACTCCGACACACCTAATTTGCAACGATTTGCTGAAATCACTCATTAATCAGTCTCGTTAATCCGACACAGTGATCAGCGTACTCCATGGTCATCTGCCCGCGAGTACATAGCCCCGTGTTTTGATGCGAGACAAGTCGGCGAGTAGCTGCCTATTTAAACGGCTGCAGAGATAAACTTTGTGTTTTGTGTTAAACTTTAGAGGTTGCATGATTAGAAAACATATTCCGCAAACAATGTAACACAACAATATGAATATTTCCTTTTTCCTTTTTTTATTACAACATGTTTGAATCGTTATCTATCGTGTAGTTGTCCAATTTTCGATCACGAACATTGATAATACCTAATTTCGTTTATCTGACATACTCGTTAATCCGACATAATCATATGCAACCAACAATGTCGGATTAACGGGACTTGACTGTAAATCTTAGAGATTGAGTATTGATAAATAAGGGAGGAGTAACTTTATCGCTACATCTCTACAGGACAATCGAGGTTGCTCAACTCTCTAGCTCTTTGTTTGTTGTTTTCAGTGTGGAGGTAAAAACATTCGATTTACAGTCATGAACAATCTCCTACCATCTTCGATCAAAATCCACGAGAAGTACGACTTGAAGGGCAGTACATACAAGCGGAAAGCCTCGAAACACGAACGGTTGAAAGAAAGCCCCACCTACAAGGACCTGGATTTCATTGATCTCCACCCCGAGGGCATTCTACTGGAGAAAGAAACCTACGATGCCTTGATAAAAACATTACAGAGAGACTGCAGGGTGAGGGCTGACATTATTCAAAGATACCTCCACAAGTTCCCGTTCCACAAAGCGTTCGTAGAGTTATAACAGTAGTAAGTCTTTGTTAAAGTATGTGAGTTACGATCACCTTAGCTCTACGATCGTTTTGTGGAATTGACCCCTCGAATTAAACTTGGATTTCACACCAAGAACTGTTTATTCCTACACTTTTTCCGTAGTTCCTACGCAGTTTGAATAAAAAACCACTGACTACTAATCCAGGTAAAAATGTGAATTTTAAGAATATCAAATAAAGTTCTTAACTGATAAATTGATATTACTTCTAATCTGAGACGAAATATAGTCGATACCTGTGCACAAATGCACACAAAACTTTATCTAAATATTTTTTCAAATTGGTATCGATTGCCTGTTTTGTCACAGCGCTTCCATCTTTGAACCAAATGTGTATGACAGAAATAAAGCTATGGGGTAATGGATGCTTAAATGAAAGGCTGATGACGTTGGTCATTCCAGTGCCGTACCCAGCCTGGGTTGGGGGATGCAGTTGCCCCTCCTGGATTTTTTATAGAAAACAGTTTTATTTGAATCATGAAAATACAAGTTGGGGACAAGTGATACTTGTACAAATATTTGCCCCCCCTGTCAAAAAAAGTTAACTACAGCCTTGCAGTCAATGTCAACTAAGGCTAAGCTGTTAAACATGCATGTTAAATCGGCACAGTGATACATGGATTTATACCATGACATCTGGCCATGTCCAGTTTAGAATTGGTCTTCAGCAACCCAATCTTGTCGTAAGAGGCGACTAACGGGATCGTGTGGTCATGCTTGCTGACATGACTGGTGCATGTCATCGTGTCCCAGTTGCACAGATCATTGCTTCATTGATCCCAATCGCGTGGATCGATGCTCATGTTGTCAATCAATGGATTGTCTGGTCCAGACTCGATTATTTACAGACCGCCGCCATATAGCGAGAATATTGCTGAGTGCGGCGTTAAACAACAAACAGATCATTGCTCCTGATGTAAATCACTGGATTTTCTGGTCCAGACTCGACAAGTTTCTTGCTTGTGCTGTTAACTGCTGATTGGCTAACACTTGATTATTTACAAGCAGAGGTGATATATCAGAATAGTACTGACCGTAAACAACTTGTATTCACTCACTCACTCCACACTTGTCTCACACAAATCTATAACAGGAATGTGGATTGTACAGAAGTGTCCTTTTTCTGGCTACAAGAAGTGATGAATATTATCCAAACTTACTTGTTTTCTTTCTTTGGTTTATTCCAGGTACTTGAAAGCTTTAAGATCATGGACTACAGTTTATTGGTCGGGGTGCATAATCTGGATTTGTCCTTACGAGAAAAGGTTTGATAATGTTCTTACATATATTTTTAATTGCATTCTGGCAAGGATTGATTGTACTATTGAAATTATTTGGATGATTTTAGTATTTGTAATAATATTGACAAATGAAAAATATCGAAAGGTTTTATTGATTATCATGTAACACATTGAGGCTTAGCTTCATCCAGAAAAAAATTGCAGGAATTCATCTAGGATTTTAAATTCAGTGCCTTTGGCAGGAATATTGGGGGAAAAACATTATTTTGTTCGAGGTATTTTAAGGGGTGTATTAACATGCAATAATGTCAAACTAAATATTAAATGCTCATGATATCAATCACTAGATTGTCTGGTATAGACTTGATTATTTACAGATACACTGTCATATAGCTAGAATATTGCTAAATGCAGTGTTAAACAATAAACAAACAGTAGTCATAAGTATATTAACATGAATTGGGAAGTTCTTTCCTTGAAAATGCAAGGATATAGTTAATCTGTCATGGTATGAAAGATTACCGTATTCGACGTAATAAGCGCTCCACTCTAATAAGCGCCCACAGCGATATTTGCTAATATATTGGCTAGTGAACAATCCCAATCAGCACCCCTTCTGATTGATCAATGTACACAACACTTATTTACTCGCGTATAATACGCACTCGTGTGTTTTATGCACCCTTAATTATGGGCAATTAAATTCTGGAAAAATGTATCTCTCATATATAAACATTTCAGGCTGTCAGTATAAACCTCGAAATTTATCTTTCAACTCTTGTTTTTTTTCCACCAAAATAATATTCTAATAACTGCTGACCCGTGGCCAGTATAAATTACAAAGGGCTTACTGAAACGTAAAGTAGATGGCCTGTCTGGCCAGTCAAAATTTCACCTCTTAAATTATCATCTTGGTAGAATGACAACCGGCCGCCATTTTGTAATGTTGTGTACAACAACTTCTGTATTAGCTCGTAAATCGCCAAGAAATGAGGCAAGTTGAAGCCAAGATTTAATCTCAGTGCAGGAAAAAAGTGTTTTAGAGGTGAGGAGTTTTTCGGAGCCCTGCCAGGTGGATATGTGACCTCAGATTCAGCCACTTCACGGCTACCACTATTTAGTTGTAGGCCAGTTAGTTTGGAGAAGTGCCTGTAAAAGGAGCGAGCCTTGCTGGCTACATACAAATTTGTTGTTAAAGCTACCCCTGTATGCAGTCCTGAACCTTTTTTTAGTTGTATGTTTCTTCCCCCTCATTATGCCCCCGGGGGCGGTCAGGTAGCCTAGTGGTTAAAGAGTTGGCTCGTCATGCCGAAGACCCTGGTTCGACTCCCGACATGGGTACAATGTATGAAGCCCATTTCTGGTGCCCCCCGCCGTGATATTGCTGAAATATTGCTAAAAGCGGCGTAAAACCATACTCACTCACTCACTCACTCACTCACTCACTCACTCACTCACTCACTCATGAAAATGACCGTTTCCAATGTTGTGTTTCAGGGAATCCCATCCCGAGGGGAGAGCGGGTCGGCGCCACCTGACACGCCCAGCGCCCTGAGTGACGGTACTAGCAGCACGGCTCCTAGTGGTGGTGGTGGTAAATGTAGGACTAATCTGTGGTGGTTGGGAAACAGATTTAATTCCATCTCTGTCGGCAGACATTTCACTGGCACTGCATCACCCTAGCAGCGGTAGAAATTGGCACTAGTCCTGTAGTCCTTACCAAGCTGCCCAATAGTTAAGGTAGAATAAGGACTGAATTATTGGATAGGCATTACTTGGAAGTTGACGGATGACGAAGTAGACAAAATTTATGGAAAACAACTTCTTTAATACGCCTTTACAGTATTAAAGAAGTTTTTATCCATAAATTGTGTCTACTTTGTAGAATAAAGACTAGTAGATATTTGCCATTTTTAAGGATTTTGCTATATGTTATCAAAATTAGGACTAGTGGACTATAGTTATTAGTTTCTACAACTGCCTATGACATATTTTGGCTTTAGTTAGGCATACCCAAAACCGTTAGAAGATGGTACCTGTCATACCCTGCCTGGTGCTTGGCATAAAAAATTAAATCAAGGACTGGACCCACTTGCACAAAGCTTTCTTAGCGCTAAGATGATCATAACTCCCATACTTTAACATAGGCTTATGATAGTCTTAGGGCTAAGATCGCTTTGTGCAAGTGGGCTCTGGTCTGCTTGGGGTGGCATCTGTGTAAAAATGATGATGCACTGATGCACACAATTTGACAAAGATGAGAAAGACATGAAATTGAATATTTGGCGCAGGAAAGCAGGTAGTGACACAAAGACAGAGCTCCAGATAAGCTGCGTATCTGCGTGAAATACGCATCAGAAATGCAGAAATACGCAGTAAAATAAAATCCAAGCATATCAAATACGCAACGAGCAATACAGATACGCTACAAAAATAAAACTTGTGCGTATCATCAAAATATTGTGAAGTAACCCTGTGTATTCGATTAGCAAATCAGCAAAGTATTTTGTAATTATAAACGGGCATTCCGTCAACCGTGCCAAACTCCACGATGACAGTTACATCATGATCAATTGCCATCACACTTTCTTGTGGAAGTATCGTGGTATTTTTGAGTCCTATAAAGCTCTCGAACCCACACGACACCAGTTTGCAGGGACTAGATGAAGAGTGTATTTAAATATTTAACTTAAATACCCACATGTGTAAAAACTAGTGGGTAACAGAAATTTGAATATCCAGATAGAATTACTGATACCTAATGATTTTAAAATGCATGGGTAAAATACCCACTACACCAAAAGCTTATCTTGAGCTCTGCAAAGACACACCGGGATGAAGAAGATGCACATCTCTTGACAGATCGGAGTCCATGTTTTTGTAATGTAGATTTAAACAAGATACGTAATCCTAGGTCCTGCTGGAAGGGAGTCAGTGCCATTGGAATGTCTCATTATGTAACAATCATTACAATGAAAGCAATAAGGTCAATAATTTTTAGTGAGAACCATTACCGTATTCGACGTAATAAGCGCCCACGGCGACATTTGCTAATATATTGGCTAGTGAACAATCCCAATTAGCACCCCTCCCGATTGATCAATGTACATAAGACTTATTTACTCGCGTATAATGCACACTCGTGTGTTATATGCACCTTTAATTATGGGCGATTAAATTCTGGGGGAAATATATCTGTCGTACATAAACATGTCCCCCCCCCCCCCCCCCCCCCCTATTTCTAATTATTATGTCAAATACGGTATTTCACAAAATTAAATATTGGTCAATCTTTTCAATATCGCCTGAATCATGGTCATTTGAAGCGATGTTTTCGAAAAACACTTCGGTAAAATTCTATGTGTGAGAGTTCAAACCCTCACAGGATAGTCTTGGCGTTTATTCAAGTTACAGGTGTTTTCACCTGCATCGCTGCTCCAGATATGTTCCCTGTACTTATCTGGTGTTAGGTCCAATATTCAGGGTGTCATTTTTTATTGCCTTCATTGTTAGGTTGTTATTTTCTAGTTTACTAACCATGTTATCCATTCCTTTCTCAGTCAGCTTACACTGGGGCCTTTTTAATCTGGATTTACTAACACAGTGGAGCCTTGTTAATCTGGACTGGGCTCTTGTTTGATCATTAACCTGTTGAATACCTTTTGTTTTTAAATAATCTTGTTGGTTGTATACTACCCAGTGAGCTGATAATGAAAATTGAGTACACACTCATCCTGCGACTGTGGCCACTAGTCCAAAGCTCGAGTCTAGTAAAATTCTGTTTGGTCCAGTAAGCTCAGTTAATACAAGTACTGTATTAGACGTAATAAGTGCCCCGCTTTAATAAGCGCCCACAGCGATATTTGCTAGTGAACAATCCCAATTAGCACCCCTTCCAATTGATCAATGTACACAAAACTTGTTCATTCGTGTATAATACGCACTCGTGTGTTATATGCACCCTTAATTATGGGCAATTGAATTCTTGAAAATATATATCTGTCGTGTATAATACACACAGACTTTTCTTTTGTATCATTTCAGGCTGTCAGCATAAACCACGAAATTTACGATCTTTCAACTCAAACATTTTCACCAAAATTTTGTTCTAATAAGAGCCCCCTATTTCTAATTTTGAGAGCGCCCTGGGCGCTAATTGTGTCGAATACGGTACATGTTATAACACTTACATCTACATTAAAAGATGCTTAAAGCCACATACACACTTGTGTATGTCACTATTTAAGTGCAATAATCTTGAACGCGACGTTAAACCCTATTTCACCTCACTTTACCAAATGATATGTTACCAAAGAAAATGACAAGTCACTCAATAAGGGTAATATATTTTGTACTTGAAGAAGTCAACCCGTAAAGATCCAGGTTAGAATTGGTCTTCAGTAACCCATGCTTGTCATAAGAGGTGACAAATTTCATCGTATCCCAGTTGCGTAGATCGATGCTCATGACACAATCACTGGATTGTCTGGTCCAGACTAGATTATTTACAGACCGCCATCATATAGCTGGAATTTTGCTGAGTGCGGCATAAAATCAAACAAACAAACAAATCTGACATGACCTGTAATAGGATGTCCTCATATCTTTATTGGGGCGGTCGGGTTGCCTAGTGGTTAAAGCGTTCGCTCGTCACGCCGAAGACCCGGGTTCGATTCCCGACATGGGTACAATGTGTGAAGCCCATTTCTGGTGTCCCCCGCGTGATATTGCTGGAATATTGCTAAAAGCGGCGTAAAACCGTACCTACTCACTCACTCACTCATATCTTTATTTGGCAGCTGCTAGAACTAAGACCTGATTTTAATGGTTGGTTGGTTGGTTGGTTTGTTGTTTAACGCCGCACTCAGCAAAATTCCAGCTATATGACGGCGGTCTGTAAATAATCGAGTCTGGACCAGACAATCCAGTGATTGATATCATGAGCATCAATCCATGCAATTGGGATAGATGACATGCATCACCCAAGTCAGCGAGCTTGACCATCCGATCCCGTTAGTCGCCATTTACGACAAGCATAGTCACCTTTTACGGCAAGCATGGGTTGCTGAAGATCTATTCTTCCCCAGAATCTTCATGGGTCTGATTTTAATGAGATGACATCAATTCACCTAACTACAAATATTATATCAGAATGAGGTAGGCTTTCACGTTTCTGATTTTAATGAGATTGACAGAAGCGTGAAAACCTACCCCACTCTGATATAATATTTGTAGTTAGGTGAATTGATAGAAAGTACCTGTCCTGTGAAATGAGGCTTTGCTGTTTCCTTGCATGTTGATAAAATTGATTTATTTGAATGATTGACTTGCAGTGATCCCAAGTTTCCTTTATGATAAGAAATCAACTTTAAAGAAAATATACCAGATATACAGTTGTCAATGAATTTGAGAAATTTGAGAAAATTTCAGTTTTGGACCTTTGATTAAAAATAACAAGTCTACAACATTTCACATTTGCTTCACTTGAACAACTAAATTTTATTTAGTTCATGAGTAAATCAATTCAATTTTCTCTACAAAATTTTCAAAAGTTTAATTGTTGTGCCTGTTGTGCTTGTTGAGTGCAGTTCAGTCAGACATGACTCTGCTGAGCTTTTATGGATGGCCACGCTAAGGGCAGTCCAATACTAGAGAAAACTATGTTTTCCTATGTATTACAATCAGGGAGAATTCTAGGGTGGGGCCTTGTGCTTTTAGCCCCTAAATTTTTAAAAAAGGCCAACATTTTCAAATACAACATGGTGCTGTATGGGTGAAATTTTCACATATAGGGCCCATGTCATTCCTTGAGTGAACCCTGTACAATGATTGTTGTAGTCATGCAAAAAGAATAATTGCTTTGTGCCATAATATTAAGCCTGACCAAAAGACCAGAAACAGTACTTTTCTTTTGTTTTAGCCTTGACCATGTTAACAATCAAGTATCAATAACATCCAAACGTTTTCATCCTGTTCTTGTAACATGACTAACCTGAACACTGGACCTGGGTCCTCTTGCACAAAGCGATCTTAGCGCTAAGACTATTGTAAGCCTATGTTAAAGTATGGGAGTTACGATCATCTTAGCGCTAAGACTGTCGAAAGCCTATGTTAAAGTATAGGAGTTACGATCATCTTAGCGCTAAGACTGTCGAAAGCCTATGTTAAATTATGGGAGTTACGATCATCTTAGCGCTAAGATCGCTTTGTGCATGAGGGCCCTGGTGTTTTGGAGAATGCACTCAATGAATGAAGATGTTTATTAATACCTAAACATGGCATTGATCGATTGTGAACACTTGCCACAGTTGACGTCGATATGACAAACACTTATTGATAATTTATTTCGTAAAGATTTTATTCGTGCTAAAATTGATAGGATAACCTCCCTTGGGTTTCAAATTGAATGTGATTTCTTATCTTTCTGATGTTGTACTGCCCAGGAGGGTGAACCAGTTGCAAAGAGCTGCCAGTCCAAGACTGGTCACAAACCGAGACATGCCTTGTTGTTTCCTCCACAGATCTAGTTATTTTACACAAACCACTATCAAGGATATATCTGGGATATACGGGAAAGAGATGTTGTTTTGTGCAAAATTGGGATATTTGTGAAGTTCCTATTTTCTTAAAATCAGCGTGATCAGAGGTTTTTTAACATTGTATATTAACATTACATTCAATAATGTAAACCGAAGCAGTAAAGCCTTTTTGATTGTCCTGATATCAGTGAAATACCAAACCATCACTTAAGATACAGCTATATTAATTGGGAATATTTTAATTCCAATTTGGGAATTTTTACTGACATTTGCTGCAGACTTGAGGCCGAATACCAGCCTCTTGGCAGGTGTATATGAATTCCTGGATAGCATTGTTCAAAGTTAGTCATGAAAGTCAAGGGGTCCCTCTTATTGCCTTAAAGGTAAAGATTTAGGAGTCCCTAGATTTGATGTTATAGAAGCAAATATCAAGGACCCCAGGATCCCTGTTCCACAGTCTTAGCACTAAGAGGACTGCAACTCCAATAATTTAACATAGACTTGCTACAGTTGTATCGCTTAGACAATCGGAACTCCCATAAATATACATACTCATGACAGTCATAGCGCTAAGCGATGGACACTCCCATAATTTAACATAGATTCACGATAGTTGTAGCACTAAGACCATCAAAAATCCCATAATTTAACATACTCACAATGGTTGTAGCTAAGACGATCAAAAGTCCCATAATTTAACACAGACTTACGATAGTTGTAGAGCTATGATCACTTTGTGGATGGGGCCCAGGATCTCCCTTAATTACAAACAGTGACTAGTCCGAAATGAGCCATGGACAAGTCAGATGAGGTGGTGCAGTCTACCCTGCTTTGGGGGGCACGGGTGGCCCAGTCGTCTAAGGCGCCGCGATTCGCTGTGCAGAGTTGCGTCCCTTGGGCACGCCAGAAACCTATGATTGTGGGTTCGAATCCCGGTTCGCTCCGATTATGTTTCTAGGTTTGTCAGCACCATACCCGTGCTCGTGGGTTTCACCGAAGTGGTAAACGTCTGAGACCTGCATCACTTCGGGCTTTCCTCCCACATTAAGCTGACACGCCGTGATATAACTGGAATACTGTTAAAAACGGCGTTAAACCCAACTCACTCACTCACTCACTACCCTGCTTTGACTCATGTTCTGTGCATTGCTTCTCAGGGGATATATTTCCGTACTTCCTTTTCCAGCTCTGCAACGAGGCAAGTCTTTCAAGACAAAGATTGCACAGTATTCCACAGCAATGGAGGCAATCCGATTGAATGCAGAAACAGATGATTTTGAAGATGAAGATGTTCCGTAGGTTTTTGGCCACATTTGTTAAATGAACTCTTTAAGGCACATAATCCCCATCTCATTTCGTAAAGCCCTCTATGACTGAAGTAAAGCTGATGTGACCTAAACTAAATAAATTGTAACTCACTCACATTTTGTAGATTCTCACATAGTGGATAGTGTTTTCGATATACCATTCAACATGTGGGGATTACGGGTAAGAATATAGGTCCCTTGTAATAAGTGACTCAACAGCTATAGAAGCTAACATGGTCTGATGGTCCTTATAATGATAACGTATGGCAAAGCCATTAAAAATGTACAAATTTCTACTCGTCCTCATGATACCTTTACTTTGGGGCAGTTTGGCATGGACTATAGGACAAGTACCAATATCTATCCTTGCTGGGGGTCACAGGTGGCCCAGTTGTCTAAGGCGCCGCAATTCGCTGTGCAGAGTTGCATCCCTTGGCTTCACCAGAAACCTATGATTTTTGGGTTTCGAATCCTTGTTCATCCCGATTATGTTTCTAGGTTTGTCAGCACAATACCAGTGCTCTTTGGTTTCACCAAAGTGGTAAAAACGTGGCTTCTGTACCTGCTGATCATGGGTACAATGTGTGAAGCCCATTTCTGGTGTCCCCCGCCGTGATACTGCTGGAATATTGCTAAAAGCGGCGTAAAACCATACTCACTCACTCACTCACTCACCTCCTGATCACTGGTAGTGAGAACTACAGTAGAACTTTAGCACCACAGCTGCTGATATTTTGTTGCATCTGTTTGATTTTCAGACCTGGTGGCATCCCAGCCAAAAATTCCAAGGGTGAACGAATATTGTTGTATCTTGGTATCATCGATATTCTGCAGTCTTATCGCCTAAAGAAGAAACTTGAACATACCATGAAGGCAATCGTCATAGATGGGGTAAGTAACAGAGGCGATTGAAACGCCACTGCAAAAGACTTCTAAGACTCCAGGACACTGATTACTTTTTAACATTTGTTGGCTAGAGCAGTGAAGATCTGGGGTACAATAGGTCTTCAGCAATCCATGCTTGCTCTCAGGGGCAACTATGCTTGTCGTAAGAGGCGACTAACAGGATCACGTGGTCAGGCTTGCTGACTTGGTTGATGCATGTCATCCCAATTGTTTAGAACATGCTCATGATGTCAATCACTGGATTGTCTGGTCCAGATTTGATTATTAACAGACCGCCATCATATAGCTGGAATATTGCAATTGGGGTACGATGACAAGCATCTTACGCCAAGCATAGTCAAGCATGGGTTGCTGAAGACCTATTCTCTGCCCAGATCTTCACAGGGATAAGGGGTGGTCGGGTAGCCTAGCGGTTAAAGTGTTCACTCGTCACGCCGACGACCTGGGTTTGATTTGGACATGGGTACAATGTGTGAAGCCCATTTCTGGTGTCCCCCTCCGTGATATTGCTGGAATATTGCTAAAAGCGGCGTAAAACCATACTCACTCACTCACTCACTCACTCACACAGGGATAAGGGCTAGTAAATGTTTCAGGTGACGTTGCATCCCTGGTGGAATGTTATCCCATCGCTGCTGTAGTGGAGTTGTTATGAGTTACATGGTTAGAAGCATGTTTATGCCACAGTGCCAGACAAGATGGTTACACATGTTCATGCCACAGTGCCAGACAAGATGGTTACACATGTTCATGCCACAGTGCCAGACAAGATGGTTACACATGTTCATGCCACAGTGCCAGTCAAGGTGGTTACACATGTTCATGCCACAGTGCCAGACAAGATGGTTACACATGTTCATGCCACAGTGCCAGACAAGATGGTTACACATGTTCATGCCACAGTGCCAGTCAAGGTGGTTACACATGTTCATGCCACAGTGCCAGACAAGATGGTTACACATGTTCATGCCACAGTGCCAGTCAAGATGGTTACACATGTTTATGTTGTTTCAGGACACCATATCCGTTCATCGACCCGGCTACTACGCCAACAGATTTCTGTCATTTTTCGCAAATCGCGTATTCCGGAAAATTCCAACCCGTAAGTATAATTGTCTTGTTTGCTCAGTTGATTGTTCAATACTCTAGTTGATGTTAAATAGGGTTTACATCGCCTTAAAGATTAGTGCACTCATATTGCGATGTGCATGCACATATGGGTGTGTGTGTGTATGTGTGTCAGCTTCAATCTCATTAAAATCAGATCTTAGTTCTCGCTACCGCTAAACAAAGATCTGAAGACATCCCATTAGGGGTCACGTCAGAACGACCTTTCATCCGACCAATCAGTGCGTCTCTTACCAGATTATGAAAGTGACAGTCGGAATGTGATTTCTAATCATGCAATCTCGAAAACTTGAACATGGGGTATTCCGAACGATAGTTACGGGTTTAACAACTGAATCCTTATAAATCTAGACCATCTATTAGCCATTCCAGAATGTTTTTTGTTCAGGTTTCAAATTTGTTATCGAGAATTTGTCAAAATATGTTTCGAAGCGTATTCACCAATTTGAAATTTGTGCCGTAAAGCACGAAAAAGCTGCCTTCTGATTGGTCATTCCATTGGGCGATAGCGAGAACTAAGATCTGATTTTAATGAGATTGTGTCAGCTTGTACTAGTCTGGACTAATGCTGTTTTTATAGTGCTAGCTCGCTGAGATACCATGCCGCAGTTTAACATGGATACCCTGCTCAGACACAGTGTACCGAGTCCGAGACAAATGCCTTGTTTTTTCCCTTAACGCCGAGAGCCAGGCAGGGAAACAACAATTATCATCTTTGGCTCTGATTTGGCTGGGGATCGAACAGGGCAGAGCGAATATGCTGCAAGATTATTTGAAATCATTTCTCTCACAGTTGGTCAGTTGATGTAGAACTGTGAGTCTTGGCAAGACTAGATTGACATAAGTTTTATAAATTTTCAGCTCTCAAGCATTCTCCCTCCAAGAAGAAAGGTCAGGCGGGTCGAGCTCGAGCGCAGACAACAATACCTGAACAACCGGAACCTGGCCCGTATGAGAGAAAGCTGATCGAGAAAACACAGAGGACCATCAGCTTCTCAGATGAAACTGGTGAGTACTGATAGATGAAGAAGTCACATCAGCCTCTCAGATGACAATGCAAGTTGCTATGGGGGCGGTCGGGTAGCCTAGTGGTTAAAGCGTTCGCTCGTCACGCCGAAGACCCGGGTTCGATTCCCGACATGGGTACAATGTGTGAAGCCCATTTCTGGTGTCCCCCACCGTGATATTGCTGGAATATTGCTAAAAGCGGCGTAAAACAATACTCACTCACTCACTCACTCAGATGACAATGCAAGTTGCTATATAACCTCAATGTTGTACCAACAACATGGCAGCCAGTCCTCTTGTTTACGATTACAAAACTGACGGACACGCAAAAGAAAGGCCTAAAAAATCTTTTTCCCAAAAGGATTCCTTCTTGTCCATTTAAACTGGCGGTGGCAAGTCCTCCCTGACCCATTTCCTTTTTCTTTATCTCGACGTTTGATTGGTCCTTAAAATGTTACTAAAATGCAAGGGCGGGTAATTTGATATTGCGACAACCTTGCGAATGAATCCAGTGGTTGGTGTAGGCTTACAGAAATGCGAACCCTGGAGATAGAGGTATGTGTGTGTGTCTGTGTCCCCCTCCCTTGTCACACGGTCACACGGGTAGATTAAACCATACTTTGCAAGGAAAATGGCTACGACTTCCAGTGTTCAATCCTTCTGTGCTGTTCCAGCTCCTCTGTCTGGCATGAGTGGGCGGCCTGACCTTCTCCCGGACACATCAACGCCGCCTCAAGGTCACTTCTCACCTGTCACCAATCAAAACTCATCAAATACCTCACGATACTTGGACTCACGCTCACCCAATAATGACGGAAGCGGGGATGGCCGAAGGTTAGTTTTGTTCTGTTGGTTATCAGATCAAAGAATCATATTTCAAACCTAGGAAAGAATCTTATGCTAAGCTGTGGCTTGGGAACTATTTTAAGACTACTGTAGCCCTGCTCACAGATAATTATGATTTATAATACCAGTTTCACGACATATTTCAGCTGACTTTCCAGGGATGGAAATTAGCGCAAGCCCACATCCGTTTCATTAATCTTTCAAGCACCCTAATGGCTAATAGAATTTCAAACATTTTACCGGGTATTGCTTTATGTTATCACTATTTGAGATAGTAGACGTTTTTGGTTAATTTCCATCCCTGCTTTCACTAATTTATGATTATCGTATTGAGTGAATGCTTATCACAAGTGGGGTGTTCATTGGAAATTTTAGTATCTGCCTTAATCATGTTCATTGTCCATGTTATTTTAATCTTAATTAATACAAATGTTTCTGTGGTATTATTGTTTTCGTATCGATATTCGATACAGCACCGATATTAAATAATTATCGATATCATGATATACACGATGACATGAATAATCATAAGCAAGGTCAAATAACTACCATCTCAAAACCCCTTGCGGGGCACGGGTGGCCCAGTTGTCTAAGGCGCAGCGGTTCGCTGTGCAGAGTTGCGTCCCTTGGGCACGCCAGAAACCTATGATTGTGGGTTCGAATCCCGGTTTGCCCAGATTATGTTTCAGGGTTTGTCAGCACCATACCCGTGCTAGTGGGTTTCATCGAAGTGGTAAACATTTGAGACCTGCATCACTTCGGGCTTTCCTCCCACATAAAGCTGACACGCCGTGATATAACTGGAATACTGTTAAAAGCGGCGTTAAACCGAACTCACTCACTCACTCAAAATCCCTTGCTGCAGATAGCATCCAGTATTCATGCAAGGTTGTTCAGTGTAATCTGGTCCCACTGAAAATAGTTCATTACTGAGGTGAAAGAACAACAAACTCACAGTGGAAGATGGGTTGTCATTGGCAAATTGATTTATGACCTTGCTGAAGGATTTTCACTGTTTTACACAATGTGTATGTAATGTGATAAATGATTTGTCACTGTGATAAGTGATAATATATATGTATAAATCATTTATCACAGTGACAAATCATTTATCATGATAAATGATTTGTCACTGTGATAAATGATTTTGTCACCGAGATAGATGATATGTCACAATGGTGAAGGATTTGTCACTTGCTAAAGCATTTGTCACTGACATAAAGGATTTGTCACCAAGATTAATATGTCACCAAGATAAAGGATTTGTCACAATGGTGAAGGATTTGTCACTTGCTAAAGCATTTGTCACTGACATAAAGGATTTGTCACCAAGATTAATGATTTGTCACCGAGATAAAGAATTTGTCACCAAGATAAAGGATTTGTCACAATGGTAAAGGATTTTTCACTTGGAAAAGGATTTGTCACTAACATAAAGGATTTGTCACAATGATAAAGGATTTGTCACCGAGGTTAAGGATTCATTATTGAGGAAATCAAATCTGTCAGTGGACTAGAAAGTAAGCTCCATCTCAAACAACCACTGGCATATGCACTGTAATATTATGTAACTTAAACTCATTTTTTCGACATGAATCATCCATCAAGTCTCACTTCGCTGATGGGGGGCACGGGTGGCCCGGGTGGCCCAGTCGTCTAAGGCGCCGCGATTCGCTGTGCAGAGTTGCGTCTCTTGGGCACGCCAGAAACCTATGATTGTGGGTTCGAATCCCGGTTCTCCCCGATTATGTTTCTAGGTTTGTCAGCACCATACCCGTGCTCATGGGTTTCACCGAAGTGGTAAACGTCTAAGACCTGCATCACTTCGGGCTTTCCTCCCACACTAAGCTGACACGCCGCAATATAACTGGAATACTGTTAAAAGCGGCGTTAAACCCAACTCACTCACTCACTCACTCACTCACTCACTCACTCACTTGGCTGATGAAGCACTGAAACACAAGGCGCACATGCATGCTTTGCTGATATTGGGTTGCTGGTGCTGGCTTCTTGTCTTGCTGTTGTGCCGATGAAGCAGCTCTTAAGTTTACATGTGCAGCACGACGATTTTAAGCAGAACCAGTTTCTTAAATAATGTATCAGATATCTTGCTGTTAAGCTGGCATTTCAAAATCATTTTCAGAATTGAAGACACATCTACTATTTTTTTAAGTTAATGTGAATTTAGTGCATTACCTCCCGTGAGTCTCCTGATGTTGGAATTAAAAATGTGGGCGTCTTTGTCGTGACCCTTATGATGAAAAATATACTAGGGGTTCTTGGATTAAAATACCAAGCAAACAAGGGCTTCATTTTGTTTCAGTGTTAACACTAGTGCTGGTTTTGCTCAGAATTTTCAAATCGATAATCTGGGCTCTCGGTCAATCAGTAATTGATTGTAATTGCTTATGTTGTATGCCTATGATGTTCAGGGATGAGAATCTTCTGCAGATCCGAGACTTTCTGCAAATTTTAGTGACCACAAATTTGTTAAAATCTGATTGCTTCCCCTAATTTTGGACCACGCTCCATTGCAAATAAGTTTCAACTGAAAAGGAAAATATCAAATCTCATCCCTGTATGCTGGTAGCGATTTTTGGTTTGTTGTTTTTGTTTTACGCCGCACTCAGCAATATTCCAGCTATATGACGGTGGTATAACACACTACATATGAGTGTGTTCCATCAGGCAAAGGTTCCAAGATGGCTGGTTGGTTCAAGTAGAATAAGTCTTCAGCAACCCATGCTTGCCGTAAAAGTCGATAAAGCTTGTAGTATGAGGCGACGATCGGGATCGGGTGGTCCTTGTTGATGCATGTCATCGTGTCCCAATTGCGTGGATCAATGTTCATGATGTCAATCACTGGATTGTCTGGTCCAGACGACCATTACAGACCGCTGTCAAATAACTGGAATATTGCTGAGGGCGTCATTAAACAACAAACCAACCCCACCCACCCACCCACCCAAAAAAAACAAAAAAAACTAACTTGGTTCAAATACAGAGGAAAATAATGAATAACCTTCAATGAAACTCTCCAAGACAACAATGATCTGCATGTAAAGCGCTGTCACGCTGAAAAACTGGGTTCGATTCCCTACATGGGATTGGGAACAATGTGTAAAGCCTATTTCTGGTGTCCCCCGTCGTGATATTGCTGGAATATTGCTAAAAGGGGCGTACTCACTCACTCACTCACTATGGTGAGTTGGCACCTCTTTGAAATCAACAAGGCCATGAAATGTTTAAAAACAGGTCTGAAATGCTGTAAATGAATTCCAACACCGAGTTATTTAAATTAATCCCCTAGAAACGCCATGCAAACGAGAGGCCACCCTGACTGTACAAGAATTACGGGGGCCCCCTTGACGGATTTTGTTTCTTTTCGCTCTGCTTTGATTTGATTGCAGAACTTCTCATGATATTATTGTTGCCAATTGAAAGCAGAGACTTATTTTGTTGTTGTTTTGTTTGTCAACAGGCCGTGGTACAGGTATGGTCTTATGTTAACTTGCATGACAGCTGTGTTTTGTAGATGTACTGACATGCAAAACAAACGCATCAGATAGAAACATGTCACAGTTTTGTGCAATATACGCTAAATTTGAATAATGATTGGTGAAATGGACCCATGAAGATCCAGGGTAAAATAGGTCTTCAGCAACCCATGCTTGCCGTAAAAGGCGACTATACTTGTCGTTGGAGGAAACTAACGGGAACGGGTGGTCAGGCTCGCTGACTTGGTTGATGCATGTCATCGTATCCCCATTGCATGGATCAATGGTGATGATGTCAATCACTGGATTGTTTGGTCCAGACTCGACTATTTACAGACCACCGTCATATAGCTGGGATATTGCTGAGTGCGGCGTTAAACAACAAACAAAGACAAAGATTGGGGAAATGTAAATTGTTCAAGCTATTGTATAGCGGGATTTCAGATCAGTTCATTTGACTGACTCACTGTTATCCATAACATCTCAATGATTTTTTTTGTATAATTTATTAATTTTTGGAAGAATGTCTCATCAAAAGTTGATAAAATTATCAAGTGTCCCCAGTGCCATTTGTCAGGATAAAATCACTGACATTTACCAATCATACAAACAAATTATGGTCGTAGGAATAATTTATTATGCTATGGTGAATGATCAGAAACAAAGTGCTCCACAAACATCGCATCAATTGAGAAATATTCCATTTTTTTTTATATATTTTCTTTTAAAGTCGTCAGCTCAAAACCATTCACTGGTCGATATGGACCATTTGATCAAATGAAAATCTATCTTGCTAAGAAGCAAATGGCATGATGCGTTTCTTTTGCAGGTCAGTATATAGGAAGAACAGAATTAAACAGTTGACCTTCAGCATGAATGCCAAGTCTTTAGTTGTCTTTGCATAGATATGATCCTTGCATGAACTCCATTGCCATTCTTTAAAAGGATCTTTTCAGGGGATATCCTTAATTCAGTTTTTGTACTTGTTTGGGAGCACGGGTGTCTAAGGCGCTGCAATTCACTTAGCAGAGTTGCGTCCCTTGGGCATGCCAGAAACCTATGATTGTGGGTTCAAATCCCGGTTCGCCCCGATTATGTTTCAAGGTTTGTCAGCACCATACCCATGCTCGTGGGTTTCACCGAATGGTAAACGTCTGAGACCTGCATCACTTCGGGCTTTTCTCCCACATTAAGCTGACACGCCGTGATATATAACTGGAATACTGTTAAAAGCGGCGTTAAACCCAACTCACTCACTCACTTTGTACTGTTTTATCCTTACTTGCAAATAAACAGAACAGGGCTGTCTATGATAATATTATTAATAATGCTGATGTGCTGGTAGGGTTGTACTATATTTTCTTCGTTTTCTGTTAATTAAGGTCCCATCCATTTAATACTCTGGCTAGGGCCAGGGAGTATTTAGGAAATACATGTTTGTTTCAGCATGACCAGAAAAGCTGGAAAATTAGTTAATAGGTCACTTTTTTAAAAATAAAAAATGATATTGTTTGTTGGACATGTTGTTTATCCTGAAAAAAGTGTTAGGAAAAAAATCATAATTGTTGGCTTCAAAAGGGTTAGAGGGGCGGTCAGGTAGCCTCGTGGTTAAAGCGTTCGCTCGTCATGCCAAAGAGAGTTGATTCCCGACATGGGTACAAAGTGTGAAGCCCATTTCTGGTGTCCACCGCCGTGATATTGCTGGAATATTGCAAAATCGGCATAAAACCATACTCACACACTCAAAAGGGTTCGTACATTAAGTTAATTGACCCCTTAGTTTTTGCGTTGATGTTGTGCTGTTATTCAATTTCATGGGTTAACTGGGTAGAATAGATATGTAACTCTCTTGTGTGTAGTGTAGGTTTTTGCTGAACAAGGAATGCCTGTAGAGATTCCAGGGCAGTCCCCGGTACCTAATGCAACTAAGCAATAACGATCAAGTGGTTTCCATCTGTAACCAGGTTGACTGTGTGTCACAGTGACCTTACAACATGGATTCATGCTCATGCTCATGCTGTCTACCACTGGTTTTCCAATCCCATCTGGGGCGGTCGGGTAGCCTAGTGGTTAAAGCGTTCGCTCGTCACGCCGAAGACCCGGGTTCGATTCCTGACATGGGTACAATGTGTGAAGCCCATTGATATTGCTGGAATATTGCTAAAAGCGGCTTAAAAACCATACTCACTCACTCACTCACTCCAATCCCATCTTTGATTGTACACAGGCTGGTTGGATATAGCTTTCATAATTCTATCTTTGGTGTAAAACAACATTCATTCAATCAGGTTGAGTAATGAGTAAAATATTTTAGCTGCCACACTGCAAAATTGTTTCTTGTATTACTTTCCTGCATAAAACCCGACCTGATCTTTCTTACTCTTACTTCCAATACCCAGGGCCCAATGTCATGAAGCAATCGTTGCGCTACGACTGTCATAGGTCAGTGTTTAACTTTGGGGGTTACGACAGTCGCAGCACTACGATTACTTTGTGGAAAGGGGCCCAGAAAAATAGTTATTAAGCCAGCATGTTTCATTCATATATAGAACTTTCTTCTGGACTGTCGTACTTACACTGTTAATCTGACCCTTGAAGATCTGGGTTAGAATAGGTCTTCAGCAACCCATGCTTGCTGTAAAAGGTGACTAACGAGATTGGGTGGTCAGGCTCGCAGACCGTTTCTTGTTTGTTTCAGTTTTAGACACCATCAAACATGAGTGTATACGTTTTTTGACCCGGCAGTTTAATTGTCATCAGCTGACTGGATCAGGTGGTCAGGCTCACTGACTTGGTTGATGCACTTCATCGATCCCAATTGCGTGGAACGATGTTTATGATGTCAATCACTGGATTGTCTGGTCCAGACTTGATAATTTACAGACCGCCATCATATAGCTGGAATATTGCTGAGTGCGGCGTTAAACAACAAACCATCCAAATCCCTGCTGTGCTATTGCTGAAATGTTGCTAAATGCAGCGTAAAACACTCACTCACTCACTCACCTTAAGTCTTGTGTAACACAGCCCATTTATTTATCACTTGCCGTGATATTGCTGAAATATTGCTAAAAGCTGTATAAAATGCTACTCACACTCACTCTCATTGTCACTTAGTTACTAGTCCAACTGATGTTAGACCTGTGAAGATTCCGGGGTAGAATAGGTCATCAGCAACCCATGCTTGTCGTAAAAGGCGACTAACGGGATCGGGTGGTCAGACTCGCTGACTGGGTTGATCCGTGTCATCCATCCCAATTGCGTGGATCGATGCTCATGATATTAATCACTGGATTGACTGGTCCAGACTCGATTATTTACAGACCGCCGTCATATAGCTGGAATATTGCTGAGTGCGGCGTTAAACAACCAACCAACCAACCAACCAACCAACCAACCAACTGATGTTATATTCCTGAGTGTCCGTTTCAGATCAGAGTTGATGACAACAACATATCCTCATGACGACGTGACACCACGCTACATGACTACAATACGGAGTTCTCCGCCCCTGAGTCTGTCTGAGTCGACTCCCACGCACACGGAACACACTGAAGGAACGCCCAGTTTCACAGCTTCCAGTCCCAGCTGTTCCAGTGATGTTCTGGGTAATGTGGGCAGCACTTGCACATGTAATTTCTGCTTGATATCATAATTTGACTTGCAACTTGATTCACACATAGGTTGGAGGGACAAAGCCATGTTTTTAAGGGGAAAAGAAAGTTAGATGGTTGTCTGTATGAGTTCTTAATATGTGCATATATTTACTGCCGTATGTTTAAAAATGAAACATTGAATGAAAACATTTGTTTCACATGTGTGTTATGAAGGATTAACACATGGTGTTAAAAACTTGAATGATTGTTTTGAAAAGTTCTCAATACTTATATAGGGCCAGGCTTTTTTTATTTTTAGGATTACGGATTTGTCAGCCCAAAGTCCAGGGTTGGAGGAGGGGAAAAAAATATAAAAAAGCCAGATGCATTTTTTTTTTTAATGCAGAATGCCTCTGGCATACTTTATGAACCTATTCTGTGCTCAAAAGACCACCATTTGTGACGATAAAGCCCCTTGTAACAATAAAAATTCTACTACTTACAACACGGACAATTGTCAAAGGAGGCTATTCATGTTCTGCTTCGAGATCAACAAAGATCAATTATGTAGTAATTCATATGTTTTTTATTAAAAGGTGATGAGAAATAATAAAATAACTGACTACATGGCTATCGGCGGGGGAAAAAATGGAAATCAGATTGATTTATTTTTTCACCTTTTCTCAAGAATTAGTCAGCGGGTCCGTAATCCGAAAAAATATTAAACGCTTGGCCTACTGTTACAACCATATCGTTAAATATTATGAATAATACCAATTTGAATTGAATTCAAATACAGATACAAAATATATAACATTTTGAACATTGATTCGTCTGGTCTTGTTATCGTCGGTGTTATTTCTCTAAATTTAATTATTAACGAAACATCCTGGACAAATGTAAGGCCATGCAAAGAGTTTTGAGTAATCTAGGAACTACTGCTTGGCATCTTGTGACATACATTTAACGTACACCATTACTTGACTCTGCCACACAAAGTGGATTGGGAAAAGATGCTCTACCTTGGGTCTAAGTTAATAGAATTTAAGTCTAAACCTTCATTTTATTTTATCCGAGCATGAATAAATACTATTTCAATATTGTAAGTCACACAATATGTCAGTTATTCAATGTCTGGTTTTATGATAGCAGATGTAGAAACAATAAATTGTCATTTATCAAGAGGTGGGGGGTCATAATGTGATGGGAGATAACTCCCATGTCATAATATTAGAATGGTCTCCCTTGGAAGACCAAATCATTGTTCATACAAGACACTGCCATTCCTAGATGAAAGTCTATTTCCAGGAGCCATATTGACCAATATTATCCAATTTCAAAAACTATCCTCATATGTTATATTATATCCTAAACAGGGAATTTTAAGCATTAATGATTGATTGAATCAAGTTGCTTGTCAGTCACAGCCTAACACATTTGTCTTTCCTCTTATTTCACCTAATTTTATATCATATTTATTTGTAGACTTTAAATGTAGATAGAATGCAATAATCTTGTTCTCATACCTCTCTCTCTTTCTTGTTTTTCTCATGAATTTGAGTGATATTTAAAAATTTCTAGACATTTGTGTGATTATTTCCTGTTTATTTTAAGTATTTGGAAAAGGTACATTGAAAACAGTTTCTTATGCTATAATTAAAGTATCCTCTGTGTGTAATCGAATCTTTTAATATATCAAACTGAATAAAGTTAGTATGGGTCATTTCCCAAGGTGTGCGTTTCAAAGATAATGCATTTTAAGCTTTCTAAATGGACAATGGCATTATTTTTATTTTACCTTGCAAGGAGGTTTGATTTGTGTGAAAAAGGTGTGGAAAATTTAAGCGTGGCTTGGATCATTAAGAATCATCTAAAAAATGTCGTCAACATTATTCAAAGTGGGAATCCAGACAATTTTCAGTGCTGAGGGCAAGCCAATGTAGTTGTTTGTTTTTCAGATATAGTATGACTCTAGTTTATCACGGCATTGGTAAATCTCGTAATCTACATCCCCTGTTGACAGTTTACTTATGCAAAAGGGGCGGTTGGGTTGCCTAGTGGTTAAAGTGTGCATTCGCCACTACGATCTATTATGAATTAACCACCGCGATAATATAGCGTACCATGCTATTTTCTGAGAAATAGACAGGATGATGTCGAAAGTGATATAATGTCATATAGTGTGGATGAGAGATCACTATTCTTTTGGATATCACTTAAAGTTTTCTTTCTGTCTGAATCTTGCCATAATCCTGTGTTCCTCACATGGGAAACAGTATCGAAATAATAAATAAATAATTTATGGCCATGAATATGCTTCCTTTTGCACATGCTTTCACAAGAGGCAACTAACAGGATCGGGTGGTCAGGCTCGCTGACTTGGTTGATGCCTGTCATCGTATCCCAATTGCGTGGATCGATGCTCATGATGTCAATCACTGGATTGTCTGGTCCAGACTCGATTATTTACAGACTCTGGAATATTGCTGACTGCAGCGTTAAACAACAAACAAACAAAACATTAAAATGAAAGGGTTCAAACTTTCAAAATTATATGCTTGTTATCTAGCCTTGGTAAAATGACATTTGTCGACTTTGATGATGTCTCACATCATTATCCTTGTTGGCACGCTACCCTGCCAAGGGACACCTGTGTGGGTGCTCAGTGTCACACTTGAAAACCAACACATTTCAATCCCTGGGTTTTGAAACAAAGACATTTGCTATGTTCATTAGTGAGAAATATAATTTAAGACAAAACAGTTATATAACCAGACAGCACAAAGTTAAGGGTTTCAGACAAAAGAGAAAAATTTAAAATTTGATCCAACTCAAGTCTAGAATGATTTGGCAAGTCTAGATTGGCTCAGCTGAATTGGGCATTGTTCTGGGCTCCATTTGGAGTTAACGTTTTTTCTTTTGTAGATACTGATTTTTGAATAAGATAACTTTCTATTTCTGGGATTAAATGTTAGTTTACACAAAGTTAAGAATTATTAGATAATGATGAGCTTCATTATAATACATGTATGTATGTTAGTTTGTCATCGGAGGGATAGATGGATTGCTGTGCATGAAATATAGTCTTACTGTAATCAAGCAGTGTAGGGTATAGAAGCATGTATGTATTTCCATGTTTAAGGTAAAGTTGGTGTAAGTTAGACTAGCTATAACCTAATTTATGTTTGTATTGCTATATTTTCTGTAACTATTTGAGTGAGTGAGTTGGGTTTAACGCCGCTTTTAACAGTATTCCAGTTATATCGCGGCGTGTCAGCTTAATGTGGGAGGAAAGCCCGAAGTGATGCAGGTCACAGACGTTTACCACTTCGGTGAAACCCACGAGCACGGGTATGGTGCTGACAAACCTAGAAACATAATCGGGGCGAACCGGGGTTCGAACCCACAATCATAGGTTTCTGGCGTGCCCAAGGGACGCAACCCTGCGCAGTGAATCGCAGCGCCTTAGACGACTGGGCCACCCGTGCCCCCGTAACTATTTGAATACCAGTACATCATTTGTGCTATAAATTGGTAATGTTTGGAAATTTCAGCTACAATTTTCTACTTCAAATCTCCAGTATTTTTGCTGTGTGTATGAAATGCATCTGAAATATTGATAATGAGTTACAGAGATGGCGATCCTATTCACAATATAAGTACTCTATTATTTTATTGAACAAGATAATTACTCAGAAGACAACTGCTTGAAGACAGCCTGCAACTTTGTCCACTGGTCCAAAGCCCCAGTCTAGTAAAATCTCTTATGGTCTTGTAAGATATACTCGACTGGTTCATATACTAAGGCTAGCATCAACTGAAACTCATGCCAAAATAGCTCAGGCTTGTAGTCTTAAAGTTTCTGACAAAGGCTGTGAAATTGAGTAAATATAAGCCAACCGGAAAGCCTGTTAACATCATCTCCTTTTATTAGAAAAGATTCATGTTACAAAAAACACTAAATCCTGTTCATGGATATTATACCCTCTATTCGAAACACAAGTTTTGTATCAGAACCCTTTTTTTCATATTTTTATTGTTTCAGATTCTGTGATGAATAGTGATAGAGACTTCGGTCCATCACCTATGTCCTTAAGTCCAGAGCAGTTATCACCTTCTAAGAAAACCAACAGCAGCACAGATGCGTCTTACTCAAGTGCATTTGAAAACCCGGTGATAACCTCGCCAGGTCAAGGAACCACTGTGGACAAAGAGGAAGTGGTAAGTCGTCCATCTTGAATTTTCTTTTCTCTTACTATGAACCCTTAGGGGACTGTTTCAAAAGCTTGTGTCTCTTTTACCACTTCAGAATTTAAAACATTTTTTTTGTGGTCAATTTAGTCTTTGAAAACATAATTATTTAATTAATGGAACAAGTATTATTTTCGGTTATGAAACTGATTTAAATATTTGGCATTCATGAGCAATTTTTTCAGCTAGCTATGCTTTTGAGACAGCCCCTGTAGTATATTCCCTGCTAAGATATGTTATCTTTCATTGATTGGGTGTGTTTAGTGTTAACTGATAGCATGCTGTAGGTATTTAAGAGGCTCCATTTAGTTTATTGAAACTCATTATGATATCGTCCTTAAGGCTGAAAAAAGAGTGTTTTCTTGATTATCAGTCATACTGCAGCAGAAAAACGCCATTATGTATCTAAATACTGTTTTTGTACTAATTTTGACCATGACTAGCACTTAACAATGAAAATGTTTGGGTTTTTTGTAAGACAGTGCTTGAGAACCAGTGTGTTTATGTGTTTATCCTAAGTTAGATAAAAAGTAAGGTGTTGACAAATAGTCACTGTGGTGGTTATGCTCAGGTTAGGTGAAGGTGTTCCTATAGATATAAAGCATTTTAAAGTGGATTCAAATGTGCAACACATACAGCAGTAGTCAAAATAGACCTAAATTTGCACGAGGTGTGTCAGACAAACACACTCCTCAGAACAGGTGTGTCGGACAAACACACTCCTCAGAACAGGTGTGTCAGACAAACACACTCCTCAGAACAGGTGTGTCGGACAAACACGAACACACACCCCAGAACAGGTGTCAGACAAACACACACCCCAGAACAGGTGTGTCAGACAAACACGAACACACACCCCAGAACAGGTGTCAGACAAACACACTCCTCAGAACAGGTGTGTCGGACAAACACACTCCTCAGAACAGGTGTGTCAGACAAACACACTCCTCAGAACAGGTGTGTCGGACAAACACGAACACACACCCCAGAACAGGTGTCAGACAAACACACACCCCAGAACAGGTGTGTCAGACAAACACGAACACACACCCCAGAACAGACCTAAATTTGCACAAGGTGTGTCGGACAAACACACTCCTCAGAACAGGTGTGTCGGACAAACACAAACACACATCCCAGAACAGGTGTGTCGGACAAACACACTCCTCAGAACAGGTGTGTCAGACAAACACACTCCTCAGAACAGGTGTGTCAGACAAACACAAACACACTCCTCAGAACAGGTGTGTCGGACAAACACACTCCTCAGAACAGGTGTGTCAGACAAACACAAACACACTCCTCAGAACAGGTGTGTCGGACAAACACACTCCTCAGAACAGGTGTGTCAGACAAACACAAACACACATCCCAGAACAGGTGTGTCGGACAAACACACTCCTCAGAACAGGTGTGTCAGACAAACACACTCCTCAGAACAGGTGTGTCGGACAAACACAAACACACATCCCAGAACAGGTGTGTCAGACAAACACAAACACACTCCCCAGAACAGGGGTGTCAGACAAACACACACCCCAGAACAGGTGTGTCAGACAAACACAAAACAACACCCCAGAACAGGGGTGTCAGACAAACACACCCCCCAGAACAGGTGTGTCAGACAAACACAAACACACTCCCCAGAACAGGGGTGTCAGACAAACACAAACACACACACCGCAGAACAGGTGCATCAGACAAACACCCCAGAACAGGTGTATCAGACAAACACAAACACACACCGCAGAACAGACATAGATTTGCACAAGGTGTGTCAGACAAACACACTCCTCAGAACAGGTGTATCAGACAAACACAAACACACACCGCAGAACAGGTGCATCAGACAAACACCCAAGAACAGGTGTATCAGACAAACACAAACACACACCGCAGAACAGACATAAATTTGCATGAACCCATGCGGATTCCTCGTGTGAATAAGGATCTCAAGTAACCCATGTTTGTTCGTAAGATTGTTTGTTTGTTTGTTTGTTTTTTAACGCCACACAGCAATATTCCAGCTATTTGATGGCGGTCTGTAAATAATCGAGTCTGGAGCAGACAGTGATTAATATCACGAGCATTGATCCACGCAAATGGGATTGATGACATGCTTTAACCAAGTCAGCGAACCTGACGACCCGATCCCTGTTCTACCCTGGATCTTTTGGTCTTAAGAGGTGAATAGATGAATCGAGTGGTCAGACTCAGTGACTTGGTTGATTGCATGCCATTGTATCCCAATCGTGTGGATCAATGCTCTTGATGTCATTCACAGGATTGTCTGGTCCAGACTCGACTATTTACGTACTGGGTGTATACTATAGCTGGCATATTGCTGAGTGAGTTGTTAAACAACAAACAAATGATAATGACAAGGAGTTGGACACCCAGACAAATTTTATGAACACCGCCAGAACACGGAAAGTGGCGTTAAACTCAACTCACTCACTCACCCTGAACACAGACTTAAATGTGCATGATCAGTGTTTTAGGGTGCATGTTCAATGGGATGGTTTATAAAAGAGCATGGTCAAATATGTTTTCTTAGCTAAGTTCTCCCATGAGCAACAGATGTTTCATAGTTTTACTTAATAACTTAATACAAGTTCCTTTTACTTTTTGTGTGTAAATTCCATGGTTAGACTGTCAGGAATTGAAAAAAGAAAAATGTTTATGAAGGAATTTCTTCACCCTTTTCGGAGAGCGACAATATGGATGACAAGACCATGATATATATTACCATATTCACCATGAAATACATTACCATATTCTCCTGCCAGTGACAAAACTGTGTCAAAACCTTTTGAGTCTACATTTGATCTTTACCCGAGAGAGCTGAGCTTTCCAGGCAGGACAGCTACCGTATTCGACGTAATAAGCGCCCAGGGCGCTCTCAAAATTAGAAATAGGAGGCTATTATTAGAATATTATTTGGGTGAAAAAACAGAGTTGAAAGATAAATTTTGTGGTTTATGCTGACAGCCTGAAATGTTTATATATGACATTATGAATTTTATTGCCCATAATTTAAGGTGCATATAACACACGAGTGCGTATTATACGCGAAGAAATAAGTCTTGTGTACATTGATCAAACGGAAGGGTTGCTAAATCGGCTTGTTCACTAGCCAATATATTAGCAAATATCGCCGTGCGCGCTTATTATAACTGGGCACTTATTACGTCGAATACGGTATACATTTTCATGACTCTATCATTCTCTACCATAATCCCAGACCGCTAGTACAAAACCCAAGTCTAGTAAGACGAGTTTGAAAACCTGTAAGATGTTAAATCTACGAAATAGGAAATGTTCTTTGAAGATCAGGGTTAGAATTGGTCTTCAGCAACCCATGCTGTTCGTAAGAGGCAACTTACGGGATCAGGTGGTCAGGTTGGTTTATGCATGTCATTGTGTCCAATTGTGTAAATCAATGCATGGGGTGTTAGTTCCCGGGTTGATTGGTCCAGACTCTATTATTTACAAACCGCCGTCATATTGATAAAATTTTGCTGATTGAAGTCTTAAACATCAAAACAAGCAAACAAAAGCTTTTGGCATAGCTCGATAGCAAATAGCTAAAGTCACAGACTGGTATTTCTAGCAGATATGTTGTTCACTGATGAGGTCTGTGACTTTTGCCACTACTCAAAAGCCCAAGGGGAGGTGGGGTAGCCTAGTGGTTAAAGCGTTCGCTCGTCACGCAGAAGACCCGGGTTGGATTCCCGACATGGGTACAATGTGTGAAGCCCATTTCTGGTGTCCCTCGCCGTGATATTGCTGGAATATTGCTAAAAGCGGCATAAAACCATATTCACTCACTCGCCCAAGTCAAGAAAACTGTTCTGTCTTGTAAGCTCAGCTATTAATTTCCATATAATATCACTAAACTATACTGAAAATTGTCATCGGGCTAACAGACACACAAGCTATATTTCTGTATCCCCTTCAGCCTTTGCCAAAATACACCCAAGGAAAAGTTACAAAGTTGTTGTGGACTTACTTGCATTATTTGCTTTGTTTGCTAGCCTAGCCGTCCCTTGTTTGTTGTGCTTGTCTATGTTGAGTTTGTAATTGTCTGGTTCTTCTTGGAATGGTAGTATTGATGTGTTTTGTCAATCTTGGCCAGTGGATCATCATCTTCTCGAGGCAAGAGAGTTAATTGACTTTAAAAGTCTAGTTTCCACCCTTACCGAACTAGGCTGGAATTCCTGGGCTTTATCGCAGCACCACCAGTGACTATTACGAGTTATGTCCCTTCTAAGCCTCTCCTATCGACCAATCAGATTCCACCTCTAGTATCACGTGCATTTGCTTCAATCAAAACAGTGGCTCCCAGTCAAGACGATCTTATCGATAATTAAGGTCTATATTGTGATAAAACGTGTCTTACATCGCGAAATGCATCAAATCACGTGAGCACCTTGATTAAAAACATGAAAAGATTTGCAAAATATCTGTTGAAAACGAGTTGGCAGTGCACATGCTTTGCAAATCCTGCAATCAACTGAAATCTGCACGACAGTTTACAAACCTGATTTTGATTTCATTGTGCAATTTTATTGGACTATGCTGAGACTCGTTAGTCCAGCCAAAACTCCATAATACCAGCCTAGTTCGGCAAGGGTGGAAACTGGACTTTTATAGTCAGTTAACTCCCTTGACTCGGGAAGATGGTGGATCATCTACCCATGGAGATCCTAGACGACTAACGGGATCGGGAGGTCAGGCTTGTCTTGGTTGATGCATGTCATCATATCCTTATTGTGTGGATCGATGCTCATGATGTCAATAACTTGATTGTCTGGTCATATAGCTGGAATATTGCTGAGTGCGGCGTTAAACAACAAACAAACACGGGGACAGAGGGACTTTCTATGAAATATCCTTTCAGAAACTTTCAGAACCATAAACCTGAGACAGACTTTCAATAAATATCCCTTGGACAGAACCACTCTCTCTCTAGAATACTCATGATGTCAATAACTGGATTGTCTGGTCCAGACTCGATTATTTACAAACCGCCTTTATATAGCTGGAATATTGCTGAGGGCGGCGTTAAACAACAAACAAACAAAACAAACAAACTCGATTGAATATTCCTGGGACAGAGGGATTTTCTATAGAATATTCCTGGGACAGAGGTGTTTTATGAACAATTTGCCTGGAACAGAGGGTTATTTGTTGAGAAAGTCCCTGCTGAAAAGTTAATCTATGAAATGAAGCCCCAGTAAAAACAACAGGGTGTCGTGACTAAAGGTTTAGAATATTGTGGCGTTACAAAGTGAAACAAATGATTATGAAACAGAAACACTGCTAGCATTCACCAAGAAGAACGCGGCAATTCCTTATTGTTTGTACATTTGTTCCTCTGCATGCTGCATGTGTTGTTTTTGTTTCTACAGCGCTCGGTGTCGGTGGCCAAGGTATCCATCAATTCCTCATCAGTCCTTGCAAACTCACACACACACTCACAGAGAAGCAACAGTAGCCTTGGCCCATCTAACCAACAAAAATCACACACAAGCCAGTCAAACCGCTCGCTTTTTACTAATTCCGAAAACTCTGTAACTACGGTGACAAGCTCCAGTGACACGGACACTGACGTGGTTACCATAGCAGCATCATTGCAAGATTTAGACGATGAGGGGCCAAATTATTCTCGGAGAGGCAAAGTTTCAAAACGGAAACCAGTCAGTACAAAAGAAATGCTTAAGCCAGCTGTAGCTACCGAATTAAAGAGACCTAATTCGGAGCCGAATGTTGCCGCCATGTGGCAACGGAATGCAGTTGGACGGATGTCACTGCCAGGGTCAAGCAAGCTATACGGACATGTTGTTCCAAATAAGGCGAACATCAGCGAAGCAGCAGACGATGGGGTAAAAAACAGGATTATTGAAATAACCCGACTTTGACACTAACACGTGAAAGTAGAAAATTTTGCTTGTAAATAAGTTCGAGGCTTTTTTAGCTTGAGCTATATTTGGACTAATAATAGCACCTTGTCATTCTGCTATACTGACAGTTTTAGCTTAAATGTAGGCATCTGTTTTTTTAACTATATAAAAAACATTAAACACGTTTTTTTAGGAGATTTCTCGGAAGAATAGTTGGTTGATGTGATAAGAGTAATGAAAGAAAGGGTTTGTTTTTTTAATGAAAAGTCAAAATGTGCTTTCCTTGCCTTATTTAAATAATTGGCCTGACCAAGGTTTGTTTAGAAGGAAACATTAACTTTCTCAAATGTTCAATTTTTTCACATTTGTGAATATTATTGTGTCAGCAGATCCGTTTACCAAGTTATAATTATTTTTTAAATGCCTTAGCTGTTAGGGATGACAAACTCTGTGATATATGTGTGATTCTGGATCTGTGAGTGATGGAGCTGATGGGTACCTCATTTTATGTGCAATTTTAAATCATCCTAGAAAATCAGACATGTTTGCACAGCCATACTGAATATTACACAGATTTTGTATGAGAGAAACCTTTCTTAAGATCGCTTGATCTTGGTTTAGGAATTTTTAACTTTTATGAAACATAATTCTGTTTATCAAAGTTCTGGTTGGCCCAGAGTGAAAAAGTCAGTAGGTCCCCAGTACCTTGTGTGTCAAGGCTCTGAGCATTTGTTTTCTTCGGGGTGGCAGCTGGTTTTTTATTGAAAAAATATTCTTTGTCAAACAACTATCCTTGACCCTTCTCATGGATATTTTATGGTTGGTTACTAAGATACAACTGGTGATTCAGTTGTATAAGTTAAGTTACTTCCCTTTACTACCAGTATTGGCTGGTAAGAAATGCAAATGTGATCCTGATTATGTTCCTGATCCTGATTCTGATTTTGATCATGTTCCTGGTCGTGATCATGTTCTTGATTGTGATCGTGTTCCTGATCGTGATCCTGATCCTGCTCGTGATGCTGATCCTGATTCTGGTCGTGTTCCTGATCCTAATTCTGGTCCTGTTCCTGATCCTGATTTTGGTCGTGTTCCTGATCCTGATTCTGGTTGTGTTCCTGATCCTGATTCTGGTCGTGTTCCTGTTCCTGATTCTGGTCGAGTTCCTGATCCTGATTCTGATTGTGTTCTGGTCGTGATCCTGATCCTGATTTTGGTCGTGTTCCTGATCCTGATTCTGGTCGTGTTCCTGATCCTGATTCTGGTCGAGTTCCTGATCCTGATTCTGATTGTTCTGGTCGTGATCCTGATCCTGATTTTGGTCGTGTTCCTGATCCTGATCCTGATCCTAATTCTGGTCGTGTTCCTGATCCTGATTCTGATCGTGTTCCTGATCCTGATTCTGGTAGCTTTCCTGATCCTGATTCTGGTTGTGTTCCTGATCCTGATTCTGGTCGTGTTCCTGATCCTGATTCTGGTTGTGTTCCTGATCCTGATTCTGGTCGTGTTCCTGATCCTGATCCTGATTCTGGTCGTGTTCCTGATCCTGATTCTGGTTGTGTTCCTGATCCTGATTCTGGTCGTGTTCCTGATCCTGATTCTGGTTGTGTTCCTGATCCTGATTCTGGTCGTGTTCCTGATCCTGATTCTGATCGTGTTCCTGATCCTGATTCTGATCGTGTTCCTGATTCTGGTAGCTTTCCTGATCCTGATTCTGATCGTGTTCCTGATCCTGATTCATGTAGCTTCCCTGATCCTGATTCTGGTAGCTTTCCTGATTCTGGTCGTCTTCCCGACCTGGATTCTGCTTGTTATCCTGATCCTGGTTCTTGTCATGTTCCTGATCCTGATTCTGATTGTGTTCTGGTCCTGATCCCGATCCTGATTCTGGTCATGTTCCTGATCCTGATTCTGGTCGTGTTCCTGGTCCTGATTCTGGTCATGTTCCTGATCCTGATTCTGGTCGTGTTCCTGATCCTGATTCTGGTCGTGTTCTTGATCCTGATCCTTGGTTTGAAAGCCCTGTTTCAATGCTTGTGGGTTTTAGAGTAATAAATGTCTACATAGTTGCCAACTGTCAAACATTTGCAACTGAAATACAAAAAATTGATTTTTTTCTTCCTTAATTCATACAACTGTACAAATCTACAAGAAAAATCACAAGGACTGAATTTCCTTACACACCAGTAAAGAGAGGGTAGCCTTACACCATGTGCTACAAACACATGGCTGTCAGATATATACGAAAATAGACTGGCCTGAAGACCGTAACAAAATATTGATTGCAACTTGGGAAAGTTGGCACCTATGTTTCTACAACCTGCATCATTTTCAGCATCTCCCCCCCAAATTTGAGGGCACAACTACTTCTGTGACCGAAATACTGATTAACCATGCTCGCCCACTCACTCACCCGTAAATAGTGTACTACTCAACCCCCAATTCTTTGATATTACTACAGTTAATTTGTCATGCCATGAGAGATTAACTATGGTAATATGAAATTATCGGGTGTTCTTTAATTCTTTTGAGTAGTATATGTAATATGATGATTCCTTACTTTCACGGTTTGCTTAAGGGTTTGTTGCCAAGACTCAAGACTTATCAGTGCTGTTTATAAATGGCTGTGCAAAATGATTGATCCTGATTTTCTCCGATGGGTAGGAATTAGTGAAGCTTCAATGGAGTGAAACGTTGCCAATTTGTCCTGGTTATTTATCAAAACTCCACCAATTTTGCCAAACGTGTTTCTAGATTTAGCCTCCATTATGTACAATTTCGTAAGTGTTGACACCCTTTGTAACCGTCACCTTTGTTATATACTGCTCGAAAGAAGTTAAGGAACACCCGATTCTTTCATTGGGAAACTTCTTTTCAGTAGTATGTGTAAAAAGCAAAATATGCTTGTAAAGTATGCAAATGAATCATAAGATTTTCAGAAAAACTTATTCTGATTATATATCAAATCCATTGTTGTAAGCCTTGTTACTCTGATCCTTATGTTAATGAGGAGGCTTTGACTGTGCTGCTTAACTCAATTAAATAAAGGCACTGTTGAGTCAAGACATGTAACATATTCCACTCACTTATATCTATATAAACATGCACTGCAATTACAGCATGTTTAATCAACATCAAACATTTGTGTGTGTATATATTGTTTACATATTGAACCATGGCATTGTTTGTAACTGAATAAAATAGTTGTTACTCTAACCTATTTGCTTTCTTTTGTTGAGCACGACACATTTGAATCTATTTATTGCACTAGCATTTTATTAATACTAATTCTTAGGGTTTTTTTTCTTTTTTTAAAAATTCTTCATGGTTGACTTAGGTTACCTGTGTTTCTTCATTCCTTCATTGAGCTTCAGTTTTGAGATTGAATCATGTATGAAATTAAACTAAACAGCTTTAACTTTTGAAAAGACAGGGGCGGCCGGGTAGCCTAGTGGTTAAAGCGTTAGCTCGTCACGCCGACGACCCCGGTTCGATTCCCGACATGGGTACAATGTGTGAAGCCCATTTCCGGTGTCCCCCGCCGTGATATTGCTGGAATATTGCTGGAATATTGCTAAAAGCGGTGTAAAACCATACTCACTCACTCACTCACTTTGAAAAGACAAGGTGCCATAAGGACATTTCTGGCGTGTTAGAAATGTCAGATTATATGGTGTTCCTAAAGTTGTGGAGATCCAGTTGGTTTTTTATTAAGCAGGTATTCACATCCACTAATCCGTTGGTTGGTAACAATCTGGACAAACTCTTTGCATTATCCCATCATGATTGTCCATAACCACTAGTCCGAAATGAGAAGCGGCAGCGTTAGAAATTGGCACTAGTCCTGTAGTCCTTGCCAAACTGCCCAATAGTAAAGATTTCCTAAGGACTAGTAGATATTTGCTCTTTTTAAGGGTTTTGCTATATGTTATCATAAGGACTAGTGGACGAAAACTGTTAGTTTCTAACCCTGGTTAAATATTCTTGTCCTATTTTTGAAGGGCAAAAGATAAAGAATGTTTGGACCTTTACCTTTCATCAAGAGCCAAAAGCAGGACATGTTTGGTCTTTGCGAAATTGGATCAGTGTGTTTCAGACCAAACAAAGAGATACATTCATGGCATGATTTTGTTGACATGTTTTTTCTTATATCACTTGGGGTTTTTTTTATATCACTAGCTTCATATAATCAGAATTACAGGGCAACAGCTTTTTGTGTTAATTTTATAAATGTATTTGCTTTGTCTTCACCGATGACTTTGTATTTCCAGTCAAACTTTAGGTTACAATGGAGCCTCATGCATTATTCATATGTCTTTACTTTTAGAAAATATATAGATGTACTGTAATCATTATAATGAGCGGCCCGTGAGGATACAGGGGGAATAGGTCTTCAGCAACCCATGCTTGCCGTAAAAGGCGACCATGCTTGTCGTAAGGGGCGACTAACGGGATTGGGTGGTCAGGCTCGCTGACTTGGTTGATGCAAGTCATCGTATCCCATTTGCATGGCTCGATGCTCATGATGTCAATCACTGGATTGTCTGGTCAAGATTCAATTACAGGCCGGCGTTAAACAACAAACAAACTTTGACTGACATCATGAGCAGCAATCTGCACAATTGGGATACGATGACATGCAATCAACTGGCAATCAGTCAATCAAGTCGGCGAGTTTGACCACATGATCAATTTAATTGCATCTTACGACCAGCATAGGTTGCTAGGATCTTATTCCTACCCAGGATGGTCCAAATTCGATTCCTTACGGATGACTGTTTCAATCAAACGCCTCTGACTTAGTAAACATTTTGGGCACTAGTTATGATGATTACTTTACGTTAGAACCCCATGTATTTTATTTGACTTGTATCTGCCTTGACATAATCCTTACTTCTGTTGCATTTTGATTGATCTCCGTATTTTTTGCTAATTTCAGTGAAATCAGGTAAAGGGAGAACACTCTGTTGTCTTGTTGATGAATGACTGAAAGTTTCATTTGCTCTTAGTCAGTTGAAATCTTTTTTTTCATGGCATTTGTAAAGCTAAACAGGGAAAGTTTGAATGTTTGAAAGTTAAATTATCCTGAATATATCTTGATGGCAGTGTTCTTGACTGATGTTATTATCCATCATCTATTGCTGCCATCTAAATATTTTTGTATACATACTTATATTCTGTGTGTCAATTACTAATTTTTATCGTTATTTCAAATTCAAAAACATTCAAAAACAATTTTATCCCAAATCACTGTTTTGATCATCAAAGTCTTGATAAAACTTTCCAATGCAAATCATTGGGGAGAAAATGAAAATTTCAGTCAGCCGTTCAACATGCTGTATCATATTTTACGCTTTCTCTCTAGATCTGTTACCATAGCAACTGTGTCTAATCTGTTCTCTCTATCCTCTAGTGAGTACTCTTACATGTCAGTAACATAATCATTAACCTTAGAGGTAGTCCAGTCATCAGCAGTATTCCTAACTGGTGCACGGGAGAGTTGCATGGTCCCAAGTAATTAGTCGGTAACCTTGTCACTGTCTTCTAAATGTTTCATGTTAAACTGTGGCATGGTGTCGCAGTGAGCTAGCTCTATAAATTGGCATCAGTCCGGACTAGTACAAGCAGCCACACACACACACACAACGCATGCATGCATGTCGCTATATAAGTGCAATAATCTTTGAAGCGACATTAAACCAAATTTCACCTCACCTCACCTCTAAATGATTCGTCCATTTAATATGTGCTTTTTGTTTTTTCTAAAGCACAAAATATTACAGTAAGCTGCTATTTTATGTCTGATTGGTGGCAGTGTGCAGAGTTGTACTAGAATCTTATGATCTCGGGTTTGAATCCCAGATTTGACCTGATGATGATTCTAGGTTTGTCAGCACCTAACACCTTTGGTTTCGTCAAAGAGGTAAGGACCTGCATCACTACAGGCTTTCCTCCCACATCAAGCTGACATGCCATGATATAACAGAAATACTCCCACATCAAGCTGGCACACCATGATATAACTGAAATACTCCCACATCAAGCTGACATGCCGTGATATAACTGAAATACTCCCACATCAAGCTGACACACTGATGTAACTGAAATACTCATATATCAAGCTGACACACTGATATAACTGGATTACTCCCACATCAAGCTGACACACTGTGACATAACAGAAATACTTCCACATCAAGCTGACACACCGTGATATAACTGAAATACTCCCACATCAAGCTGACACACTGATATAACTGAAATACCCCTATATCAAGCTGACACACTGATATAACTGGATTACTCCCACATCAAGCTG